GGGCACTGCCCTCCTCCTCGCCCTCCCTGCTATATCCCTGAGGATGGAGGAGTGTGGGGCTGGCTCAGTTCCTCACTCCTGTGGCTGGGGCACTGGGCTCCGCCTCAGAACCCTCTGGATCCCACAGACTAGAAGGGCACTCTGCCTCCTCCTGCCCAGGCTAGGACTGCTCCGGTCTCCTTGCCCCAGGCCTGATTCCAACCATCTGCTCCTTCACCGTGCGCGTTTTCAGCCCCGTCCAATGGCCTGAGACCCTCTGGCACCACCTATGGGGTCAGGGAACTCATCTGTCACTGTCAGAAGCTGCACATACAGGCACAAGGAAGTGCTGAGGCGACATCAGATTGGCACATGCAGAGGTTCATGCCACTCTGCAGCGCCGCCCACAGCGTCAGCACCTGGCCAGCCCAGTGGCCGAGCTACCTTCCCTGGCTCCTGGCAGTGGACACTGTCTAGGAGTTGGGCGCTGAGCCCCATCAGATGCCACATACAGGGACGGGTGGCAGAGGGGCACCAAGGAGACTGCCAGCCTCTGAGAGCAAGGGACTTGGGCTGCAGTGCGGGACCGTGCCACAAGTGAGCAGGGAAGCGGGAGGGGGTGACCTTTTACTTAGAGCCCTGGGAACACCTTTGCCATGGGGAGGTGCTGACCCAGCCTGGTGCCTTTGCCCCAGCAGGCATGACCTACTCTGCCATAGGCGCACTTGGCAGCCCAGAGGCTGCAAATGAATGCCCTAGATGGGTCTGGGGTCTGGTGCTTGCCAGCCAGGGCAGGGCAGCCTCCAGAGACTGGGCCCTCGAGTGGGCACTGGGGGCCATGTGGTCAGACACCTGAAGCCCACATGCCCCAGCCAAGCTGCTGGCCTCATGGGGACCTGAGTGGGAGACCAGATGAGTAATCTGTGTGTGATGGGCCCTTGCCACATTGCTTAAGAATCTTGAACCAGATTATCTTTGAGGTTAAAAAAGACCTTACAAATCTGTGACTTTCTGGATAAGTCACTTGTAGAGACTCAGCTCTAAGCATAGCCCACCGTGCCCCCCAGAATGATGCTTATCGGGAGCCCCCAGCTGCAGTAAGTCTACTGTGATGCCTCATGTGACACCGAGCAAGCACAGGCTGGGGGATTGAGGCGACACATCCTCCACCCAGACTGCTCCACTCGCGCTGTCTGCGGATCCCTTGGCTAGGCACAAGGCCCAGGCACAAGGCCAGACCGGGAACGGTGTGGGGGACAGAGCTTTGGGGAGAAGGGGATGGGTGCCACTGAGCACTGACCCCACCTGTGCTTCATGCCACTGGGTGACCTCCTCGAGGCTGGGCAGCCCCAGGCCCCTGCCAGCACAGGTGCCTTGCACGAGAATGTGGCAAGCTCTCTCCCAGCACAGCGGCGGGCAGGGTGCAGCTTCCAGGTGGAGGGGTGCATCCGGGCTCCCACCTTTCCCTCCTGGCCTCTGAGTGTACTCAGAGCGACCCTGCCCACGCCCCCAAGAGGCCTGCAGAGCCAGAAGCCAGGGAGTCCTGACACACTCCGCCTCCCCCCCCACCCCCCACGCTCACCAGCACGTGTTTGGGCACGTGAGGCTCAGCAGGCCAGTCAGGGCTTGCTCCTCTCTCTAAAGTGCACATGGCTCCACTTCCCTTCGTCATCGTATCGTCAGTTTTGTCGCTGAAATTGTTGGGGTGATGTGGATGATGCACCAGGTTATGATGCTCCCAAGCTGCCAGTGATGCTCTTACCACTTGGCGGTGATGCTCCCACAGTTGGAAGTGCTCCCACAGTTGGTGGAGATGCTCCCACAGTTGGGGAGGTGCTTCCAGTTGGTGGTGATGCCCTTACAGTTGGTGGAGGTGCTCCTACAGTTGTTGGAGGTGATCCCACAGTTGGTAGAGGTGCTCCTACAGTTGGCAGAGGTGCTCACACAGTTGGAGATGCTCCCATAGTTGGCATAGATGCTCCCACATTTGGTGGAGGTGCTCCCACAGTTGTCTGAGGTGCTTACCCAGTTGGTGGAGGTGCTTCCACAATGGACAGTGGTGATTCCACTCAGGCCTGGACATCCCCACTGCTCAGAACTGCGGAGATGACGGTCCTCAAAGGCCATGCTACTTGCCAGGCAGTTATTCATGGGAAGTCTACGGGCCTTCACCTGAGAGTGAGGGGCTCCACAGCTTGGCACACGTTTCTCTCTAACCCCTTTTGCAGGTGTGGTTCCATGATCTCTACAATGGTTATGCTGCTGCCTAGCACATTTAAGTTTCACCACTCTTCCTGAAATCTGCCTGGCACAGGGTGCGGAGCTGGAGGCTGCGGGGGCCCGTGGCAAGAGCACCTTCTTCATGTGTGTGAGGTTGTGAGTGGAACACGGGTGCAACTGGGCAAGGTGCCGGCAACTTCGTTCCCTACAAGGACCTGGCCGTGAACTATGCCTCAGAGAACAGCATCCAGGCCAGCACGCGTCCCTGCCAAAACAGGGGCAGCCCCGTGGCTCTGAGCATAGGACACTGAGTCCAGGGCAGCGGGCTCTGACTGGCAGGCACTGCTCTGGGCTGGCCCCGACCCTTCCCAGACTGTTGGGGTTTTATTATTATTATTATATTATTTTTGCTTTTTGGGTCACACCTGGAGATGCACAGGGGTTACTCCTGGCTCTGCATTCAGGAATCACCCCTGGCAGTGCTCAGAGGACCATATGAGATGCTGGGAATCGAATCCAGGTCGGCTGCGTGCAAGGCAAACGCCCTATCCTCTGTGCTATCACTCCAGTCCCACTGTTGGGGTTTAAATGAGGAGTTGGTGGTGAGGCAGATGCAGCGCAACCCTCCACTGAACTCACAGCTTCGCACAGTCAGGGGTCAGGACACTGAGGCCTTGGAGTCTCCCCACCAAGACCCCCTGGAAGGAAAGACTGTCAGGGTGACTGTATGAGTCTCCGTTGGACAGCAGGAGTGCTCAGACCCACCTGTCGGAAAGGGCCTGTGAGGGGCTGGAGCCATAGGATAGCAAACAGGGCATATTTTCTTGCACACAGCTGACTTGGGATTGATTCCCAGAATCCCATATGGTCCCAAGAGCACCACCAGGAGTGATCCCTGAGTGCAGAGCCAGGAGTAAGCCCTGAACACTACCCACTGGGTGTGGCCCCAAACCAAATTAAATAAAAGGCATGGGGCTGGAGTTATAGTACAGCGGGTAGGGTGTTTGCCTTGCACGCGGCTGACCTGGGTTTGATCCCCGGTATCTCATAGGGTCCCCCAAGCACTGCCAGGAGTAGTTCCTGGGTGTAGAGCCAGGAATAACCCCTGAGCATCACTGGGTGTGACCCAAAATGCAAACATAAGTAAAATAAATAAAAGGCATGTGAGCCCTGAGGGGCGGTGAAAGGGAGGGGGGTCCTCAAGAGCAGGAGCCAGAACAATCCAAGCAGGGGTGTGGGGTGTGGGTAAGTGTGATGAGTGATGAACTGCGTGGGAGAAGTGTGAGCTCACTTCTAGGGGGACAATATCTTCAGCCACGACCCCGCAAACAGCTCCAGCTATCTGAGCGAGTGGGGGTGGAGATGCCTGGGGTCCACAGGAGCGAGTCCCCCACATCCTTCATGAGAGCGGAGAAATGAGAGGCGCCCCCAGGGTCAGCCCAAGAGCAGGGCTGCAGGCTGTCAGGGCAGTGTGGGAGGTTCGCGAGCCACCTGGATGGCTGCAGAGCCCAGATGCCCAGGTTCTGGTGCTCAGGGATACTTCAGTCCCCTTCTTGGACGTGAGCATCTCCCATAGCAGCTGCCTCCCAGGGCAGAGTGGCGTGGAGGCGAGTCATGGCCTCGGGTGCCCCTGGCGCGAGGCTGTCTGCTTATTTACACGAAGCACATTTCCAGGGGCCATGGAGCCAGTTTTTAAATTTGTTGAGGAAGGCCACATCAGTCTGGAACCTGTGTGGACTGTCCAGGGGCAGAGGAGGACGTTCCTGTCATGGCTAAGGGCACATCTCCAGAGGTAGGCCTGGTGGTCAAGGCGTGGAGGTGCCGGCCACTCTCATGGGCAGAAGGGACCCCAGCAGAGACACAGGCAGGAGAAGCCTGACCCGAGGACACACACATAGCCATGCTTGCCCAGAACCAACAGGGTCCCAGGAATGCCCCGGGAGCCTGGGCAGCCGCCCCAGCCATGGAGGGCACGGAAGCACGCGAAGGAGGCACCGAAGCCCTGAGCCCAGAAACCCAGAGGCCAGCACAGCCCAGGGCTAAAGATGCTCTAAGGGAAGAGCCACAGTGGGAAAGCACCGCCCAGGACTTCCTGCGCCCACAACAGCAACCCGACAGCCACAGGGAGGGCCCACACTCAGCGGCCAGACTGGGTCCCATCTCCCACCTTGCAGACCCCAGGCTGAGTGTCTGGTCTTCAGGGGCTCTCAGACATGCTGGTTTGGGGACCAGGACAGCACAGCAATGTAATGGCCAGGAGCTTGCCTTGGGAGGACCTGAGAGCACTTCTCAACAGCCAGCGCATACACACACACACACACACACACACACACACACACACACGTGCGTACACACATACATACACATGCATACATGCATACATGATGGAGCCCATCAGCTCTGGCCATCCATGACCCTGGACTCGGAGAGAGAAAATCCCAGGCTTGTGTGCACTGTGGTCTGGTGGGGACACCAGGTGCCATGACCTCACCGGTCTTATACCCAGCATGGCCTGCATGGCGGAACGGCAGGTACCATCTCTACCTCCCAGAGCCCAGTGCCATGGCCAGTGCCCCACCATCAGGGCCTATTGCCAGAGGACAGGGGGTCACAGGTTGTTCCCACAGGGCACGACGGAGCAAGGCCTGGCCTCAGTCTGGGACAGGCCTCAGAGAAGCTCCACGCCCTATGCAGGCCCAGGCAGAGACGGCCAAAGGATGGGGGTACGCTTGCACCCCATGCAGGCGCCAGGGTGGATGGGAGGTGAGGTGGAGAAAGGAGGTTGTGGGTGTCCCGCCTACCTGGAGCAGAGTCATGCAGAGAGGCAAGGTCCGAGGGGCTGGAGCCCAGGTCCAGAATGTTCCACACGTCCTGAAGGGGGCTGCTGGCCAGGGAGCATGGTTTCTGGGCTGGGTGGCCCTTCTCAGGGGGGCTTGGGGCGCAGCCTGGCTTTGGAGACTGGCTCTCTTTCTCGGGGGTACACCGGTGAGTGTTGGCGGTGGGGATGCTGCGGTCCTCCTGCTGGGCCGGGGGAGAAGGGCCATTGTGAGGACCCCACGCGGCTGCCATGGCAGGGAGAAGAGCTGGTGCCAGGGACACCACCAGTCCTTTCGGGCAGTGCCATGACAGGGACAGCACTAGGCTGGAGGCTCCCTTGGGGCAAAGCACAGTGACAGTGACACACGCTAGCCCCAGCAGGACCCCTTGTGCTGGCTGGAGCGACAGCACTGCCTTGTATGAGGTTCGACCCTGGCATCCCCAAGGGTCCCCCAAGCCCCACCAGGAGTGATCCCTGAGCACCGCCAGGTGCGGAACCCAAATAAAGACACCGCAGGCCCCTGGAGCTGCAGCACCGTCCCCCAACGTGCCAGCCTGCACCTGGACCACTGCATGTGTGCATGTGCATGTGCGTGCTGCCTCGTCCAGGCTGAGGAGCTGTATTCAGGGTGGTCAGCACAGGCCAGGCTACTGCAGCATCTTTCTCAGCCATCTCCCAGTGTGGACACACAAAGAAAGGGAAGTCAGCGTCCGTGAGGGAGATTCCCCCCTCCACCTCCGAAGTACCCTCAACTCAGGGCTCCCAGGACGCATGTGCTGCAGGCAGTCCCCAAAAGTGCACCCCGCCTCTGGGAGAGGGGGCCCCTGACTCACACCAGCCCCTGAGCACGTCCACGTAGGGCCCTTGGTAATGACAGAGGTGGCCCCTGGGGCTCAGCTCTTCAGGGTGAAGTGACCAGACCTGGACCACAGGCCAGGGGCAAAGCACAGTGACACACACTAGCCTCAGCAGGACCCTGTGGGGGTGCACAGGGTCACCCCTGTCCAGAACCACAAGGAGAGGCTGGAGCCATAGGACAGTGGGGAGGGTGTTTGCTTTGCATGCGGCTAACCCGGGTTCAATCCCCAGCACTCCATATGGTCTCCTGAGTTCACCAGGAATAATTCCTGAACACAGAGCCAGGAGTCAGCCTTGAGCACCGCCGAGTATGGTCCCAAAAACTAAGAAACAGACCAAAATCCCCCAAAACCAGAATCATGCGGAGCCACACAATGTGGCTCAGGACCCGGCTGAGTCCTGGCCCCAGGAGGAGCATCCGTGGGAGGCTCTAGGTCCCTCCCTCAGCCAGCAAGTGCCGAAGAAAGCAGAGTCCTCTCCTGAGTCAACTGTCCGCAGGAGAAGTGCGACGGGACCAAGCGCACCCGGTAAAGAGCGAGTGTGGAAGGCGGAAGGCTGCAGGGCGCTCTGGGCCTCCAGGAAGGCCAGAAGCCAAGGTGGGCCTCACTGGTGGACGACTTGGGCCAGCAGGCCAGGGCAGAGCTATGCAGCCCAGAGCCCTACTTCCCATGAGGACACTGGTGGGGCGAGCAGGGAAAAGGCACCTGGCAGCACAAGCACTGTCCCTCAGGGCCACACGTGGAACCACCGGCTTGCTTGGCCAAGAATTCCCAGGAATAGCCCCGAGGTCCCCCACACGGAGCGTGGGGCCTGAGTCACATCAGATGGTTGGAAAGGCTCCCACAAGGGGGCCCCGGGTGGAGTCCTGGGCACTGCAGGCTCTCCTGAGCTGGCCAGGAGTGGCGCAAGTAGAAAAGAGGGAGGCCCTCTCGTGGGGACTGGGGAGCAGCCGTGTGTGAGGGAGCACAGTTGGGGAGCATAGAGGCCATGATCCATCGTGGGCCGGCAGAGCACTCTGAAACCGTACACGAAACCCCAGGCGGGCCCCCAAGCGGGGCGAGAGCACCCTCACACCCCTGAATTGCACAGCATCCACTCCTAATAGTAGTACCCAGGGGGGTGAACATGTAGCAAAATGTACCCATGATGAAAGCAGGGTGAGACTAGGTGTGGGGCTGAAAGTGGCCTGCAGGCACACGTGTGAGGGAGATGCAGCCGGAGTGGAAATGGAAAGCCTTTGGCCACACGCTTCTCCCCAAAGCAGCATTACCTGAGGGGCACAGCTGGCTTGCTCCTGAGCTGAGCACGGGTCTCTTGGACTCGGGGTCCTGGGGCTGCAGCAGGGGGGGCGGCGACGTGTTCCTGCAACAAGACAGGGGCAGGGCTGGGTTGCCGGGGCACACACTTCTGGAGGTGCCTGTGCCGCACGTCTACGCCTTCTCCCCCTCATCCCCATAGTGGGGACTGGGTGTAGAGGCGAGCACCCTGGCAGCCCAGGGGACCCACGTGGAAGCCTCCTCGGGCCTCGCTGAGCACAGGTGCGGCCAAAGGCCCACGCGCGGCCCCCCGGCATACAGCTGGCTCCATCCAAGGTGGCCCCAAAACAGGAGAGAGAAGAGCGTCAAAGGGCAGCATGTGCCCTCCCCCAGGTAGCTTATTATGGGTTCAGCAGTGCTGAGGAAGATCATGCCTCGACAGGGCCCTGGAAGGCCCAGGAGGCTGAGACACTTCTGGGTCTGGGCAGCCCTGGCGGTCCCAGCTGTCAGCTGTCACACAGGCACAGATGCGAGATGTCAGAGCCGTGAAGGGTGCGGGGTCTGAACCCCACCACACTGTGCTACTTCCCCAAATAACAAAACACCTCGCCAGAGGGATGTCCTTGCTCTTACTTTTGGGGGCAGGTGTCCCAAGTAGTGCTCAGGGAGCCTGGGGACTCCCCCAGGGACCCACCAATGTTAGGCATTATCTGAGCCACCCTAGAGTGCTCTGGGGATTACTGGCCCCAGGGTTGAACTGGCCTGGCGCCTAGTGGGCAAGCAAAGCCAGTGCCTCAAGGCTGTCCCTCTGGCCCCTCCACAATTGTTTCTGGGGCTGATGGTGACCTGCTGAACTTGGCTTCTTTCCTGTTCCTTTGTTTTGGGGCCACACCCAGCAATCCTCAGGGGTGACTGCACTCCCGGCTCTGTACTCAGGAATCACTCCTAGTGGGCTTGGGGGACAGGTGGGATACCCAGGATCAAATCAGGCCAGCGCCCTCCCCACTGTGCTATCACCCAGCCCTCACTTGTGGGTACAAACGTGATGCCCAGCGCTCACTGGGGTGTGCGCTCCTTCAGTTGTGGTGCTCGAACACGCTCTCCCTAGGGTGCTTCGGCACACACACACACACACACACACACACACACTTGCCAGAGGTGGTGAAGTCACACGCACGTCTTTGCAGCTGCTGAGATGACCGGAGTTGTCCCATTATGCGCACACAGCACGCGACTCACACACACACACATACACACACACATACACACACACACACACACACAGCTGCAGAGTGGCTGGAAAGTGCTGCAGTGCTGAGGGTAGGGTTAGAGTCATGCCTGGCGCATAAGGGACAATGGAAATGAGAAGCCAGGACCACAGGCTTCTAACGCAGGCCCTTGTGCTAACCCTCTGCAGGGTTCCTCCATCCAGGGTTGCTTTCTGAAGACAAAGGTCTTCACCAAGAGGACAAAGGTAACTTCCAATCATGCCCCTTTTGTGCAGGGAGTTTGAAATATCTTCTCGGACAGGTCCTGATTTTCAGGTCCCCTGACCTTACCTCAGGGTTCAATGCCTCCGGCAAGTTTTGCTTTTCCGCTTCTCAAAAGTGAACCTGGACTTTTGAGAAGTGAACTTCACTATCACTGAGTGACAGTAAAGTAGGCATTTGCCTCACAAGTGACCTACCCGCATTCCATCCCCAGCACTCCGTCTGGTCCCCCAAAACCCACCATGAGTAATTCCTGAGTGCAGAGCTAGGGCCCCAAACAAAAACAAAACCAAGGGGCCTAAGTGATAGTACAGCATGTAGGATGCTTGCCTTAGACGTGGCTGACCCTGGTTCGATCCCCAGTATCCCATATGGTCCCCCGAGCACCACCATGAGAAATTCCTGAGTGCAGAGCCTGGAGTAGCCCCTGAGCATTGCCAGGTGCGACCCAAAAAGACAAAAGAGAAAACAAAACAAGAGTGGACCTAAATGTAAAATAAGATAAAACATTCAGGATGTCTGTGCCCCCCAGGCTATGTTAGAGAGGATCCAGAGGGCTGTACAGCAGGTGTGAGGGGATCAGTCACGGGTCTCAGAGCCAGAATCCCTCCTTCACTGCCACTTGTCACACACTGACCCCCTCAGGGGTCCTAGAGGTGTGAAATCCCATGTGCCAGAGGAAGAAGGCCTCAGTGAACCAGAAAGTTTAACAAAAATAAAGGGAAGGAGAGGAGAGGAGCTGGGAACCATTCATATTATCTGATGGGTTCCCAGAGGCACCCCAGGTCTCTGGGCTGGGTTGAAGGCCCCATCAGCAACGCCCTCGCCCAAGGGTCCTGAGCCTGACCCCACTCAGCTCCACCCTCACCCCAGGGTCCTTGAGCCTGGCCTTAGGTACTGGCCCAAGGGCTTTCCTCTGAACTCCTGCTCACTCATTTTAGAAGCCAGAGCTAGATTCACAGCATCAAGAGCCTGAATTCACTCTCTGAAGGTTTCTCTGGACTCGGTTTCTTTGTCATACCAACAGCCAACAGGACCCTGGACTGCAGCCTACTGAGGGGTTCCCCTATCACTGTGAATCACAGCTTCTGTCTCTGACCTTCCATGGCGGTAAGCAGCAGGTGGTCCCGGGGCTGGGCCAGGCGTCAGGAGGGCACATTTGGAATGTGGTAGATGCGCTTTCCCCAACTATGAGGCTCCTTTCTCCTTCCTGTGAAGGCGCCTGAAGACTGTACAGACTCGTCTCAGGGCAAGAGAGAGAGGACAGCGGCAAGGGCACTTGCTGTGCGTGTGGCTTTCATCCCTGAGCACTGCTGGGAGTGTCTCTCACTGTGTGAAAGGACCCTGGGTGGGGCCGAGACCCCCAGCACTGTGGGGAAAGGTGGAGGACAGAACAGGCATGGCTGGTGCCGCACAGGGACTGAGGCACAGGACAGAGGAGATGCTTGCTCTGCACACGCCCAGCCTGGGTTTGATCCCGGCACCCCACAGGGTCCTGAACACAGTACACCACTGGCCCCAAACCCAGAACAGAAACATAAAGAAAGAACACAGTCAATACTAGACTAAAACACACTTAAACTAACGAAAGGTAGTTTTGCTTAAATGACTCTCTGGAGACTGAAAACCTGAGCCCATAGATGGACGGGTCACTGGCAGCCGACCTGTTCTCTGAAGTCCTGAAGCAGGCAGCATGTGAGAGAAGAATGGCCCTCAACACCTCACGCCCCCCTGAGCACCTTGGGGTTCGACCCTTCAAAGGCAATCACAGATCAAGAGCGGATCATAGTGGCAAAGGAAAAAGGTGAGAAAATAGATGCAGGAATGGAAGAAATCAATCACACCCCCTTCCCCCCCTCACTCTCTCTCATGCACACCCTCCCTCCCTCTCACACTTCCTTCCTCTCCTACACTCCCCTCCATCTCTCTCACACACACTCCCTCCCTCCCACACTCCCTCCATTCCTCTCAATCACACCCTCCCTCCCTCCCTCTCGCACAATCCCTTAGTCCCTCTCACACATTCCCTCCCTTTCTCACACAAACTCTCTCCTCACACACACACCCTCCCTCACACACACTCCTCTCATTCACACACTCCCTCCATCACACTTACCCTCCTCCTTCCCTCTCTCTCACACACACACTCCCTCCCTCCCTCTCACACACACTCCCTTAGTCCCTCTCCCACATTTCCTCCCTCTTTCACACACATACTCCCTCTCTCACATTCTCCCACCTTTCATACACACATTCCTCAGCCCTCCCTCTCTCCCCTCTCACACACCCTCCCTCTCTCACACCCACCCTCCCTATCACACACCCTTCCTCCTCACACACTCCCTCCCTCTGCTCTAACACACACTATCTCCCTCTCTCACAGACTCCCAGCCTCTCTCTCAGTCCCTCCCTCCCTCTCACATACTCTCCCCATCACAACACATACATTCCCTGCCTCTCTTACACACACATTCCCTTCCTCAAACACACACTCCCTTCCTCAAACACACATACTTCCTCCCTCTCTCTCTCACACACACTCCCCTCACATTCCCTCCCTCTCTCTCTCACACACTCCCCTCACGCTCCCTCCCTCTCACACACACACTCTCTCCCTCTCACACACACACTCTCTCCCTCTCACACACACACTCCCTTTCTCGCTCACACACTTCCTCCCACTCTCCCACACACATACACATCCCACACACTCCTTCACTTTCATACACACCCTCCCTCATCACACTCACACACTCCCTCCCTCTCCATCACACATTCATTTTCTGCCTCCCTCTCTCACACACACTCCCTCTCTCACACTCATACTGTTTCCCTCTATCTCACACACTCTCCCTCTTTCACACACTCCTTCCTCTCTTGTAAACACAACCCACCCCTACCCTCTCTCCCTGTATCTCTCACACACATTCCTTCCCCCTGTCTCTCACATACAAACTCCCTCCCTCTCACACACCCTCCCTCCCCATTTCTCTCTCACATACACTCGCTCTCTCTCTTACACACTCCACTCCCTTTCTCATATATGCACTTCCTGCCTCTCTCACACACATCCTCCTTCCTCACACTCCCTCCCTCTCTCCCTCTCTCACAAACACTCCCTCCCTCACACACACACTCCTTCCCTCTCTCACACACTCCCCTTCCTCTCACATACTCCCAGCCTCTCTTACATTCTCCCTCACACACATACACACCCTTCACACACACACACACACACACAAACACACACACACACTCCCTGCCTCTCACACACATACTCCCTTCCTCTCTCTCACACTCTCCCTCCCTCTCTCACACATACTCTCCTTCCCTCTCTACAAATTCAATCCTTTTCTCACACACAAATTCCCTTCCTCTCTCAAGTACTCCCTCCTCACACACACACTCCCTGCCTCTCTCTCACACATACACATATATACCCTCTCCCTCACGCACCCTCTCTCATACACACACTCTCCACCCTTCCCTCTCTCCCTCTTTCACACACACACTCACACACACACACAAACTCCCTCTCAGCACACTCCCTCCCTCTCACACAGTCCCTCCCCCCTACACACACACACACACACACACACACACACACACACACTTACAGAGAAGACACATGTTTAACAAGTCTAAGACCCAAAAGAGATCAGAAAGATACTAGGAGGACAGTTTTGGGAGAAATATCAGGAGAATTTTCACCAATGGGAAACAGCCAAGCATGAGGCCGTGAGGCTGAGATTCAAACATGGATCCGGGGTCAGAGACAGCCAACGCAGCAGGCAGGGCACATGCCTCCCCCTTGGTTCCATCTCACAACCCTGGCAGGAGTCAGCCCTGAGCACCGCCGGGTGCGTCCCCCAAATGCCGGCATATTGTCCGAGTCCTTTCCAGCTAAGCTGACATGCTAGGGACCAAAGGACCCCTGGATGCTGAGCTGCCACAGGGGCCATCACACCCCACAGAGAGGAGTTGGGGGCTGGAGGATTGGGGGGGCTGTTGCGTGGGTGGAGGCCGCTGGAGGATGTACTAAGGCAGCAGACTGTGGGCACAGGGCAAAGGGTCTGGCTGGACGGGTCGAGCGGCATTCTTCACAGAGATAGCCTATCTGGGTAGTGGCAGGGGCCCAGTGACCTCGTGTGGCCGGGTGCCCTGTGGCCTGTGGCCTCCTGCAGCAGCAGGCAGGGGGTTTGAGCGAGGCCAGGAGGGGGGTGCAGAGTGGAGGGGCACCCTCACACTCAACTCTCGGTCCCTTGCTGCTGCTTCTCCTCTGAGAATCCCCGCACGCCTCTGCCGACCATGTCCACACTCGCCTCAAAGGACCCTAACACGGAACATGGCAATTCATTCCAATCTGCTTCTGCGAAGACTGTGCCAATAGTGCCTGGGACCCTCCTGGTCCACACTCTCTCCCTGAGCAGCCCCCGGGCTCCCTGAAGCTCAGATGCAAGACGATTTTTCAGGTTTATAGTAAAAATGAGGAGAAAGCTGAGCTCTTGAGCCACCCATGAGGGGACACCGTGACCGTGACATGCCACAGTCCACAGCAGGTTCACTCCTGGGGCAGGAGGTGGGAATGTCCGAGGATGGAGCCAGCAGTGCCCGGGGCTTCTGCCTCCCGAGCCCGCACACAGCAGTGCCTGGGTCCTTTCTGTTTGCGCTTCTGGTGGGAACAGGAGTGTGTGCCGAGGGCTGCTGCCCAGGAAAGCATGGAAGCGGTCGCCAACTGCCTGCAGCTGTGCCTCAGCCCTGGCCACCATCCCCCAGGCCCTGAAACCTGGAACGGGAGCAACTTCCAGCCTCTGGATGGCTCGCGTGTTTGACCTGATTCCGGAGTTTGCCTCCGCTCGAGATCACTGCACGGCCAGATTGGCTGGTGTGTGCACTGCTGGTGTGAGCAGCTCAGTGGAGCCTCTGCCCTCCAGAGCGCCAGGAGAGGAGCCCCGGCTCCTGGCAGGACTGGTTGAGCTGCAAGTGGTCCTGCCACCCCTGCCGACACAAAGGTCATAACTGAGAGCAGGGCTCTGGGCTACAACCACGGGTCCGGGCAGAGAAGACCAAAGCCCATCCGAACAGGCAGAGAACACATGAACAAAGGGGCTGGGGTGATAGTACTGTGGATGTGTTTGCCTTGTAGGCCACCGACCCAGGCAAGAAAGAGAAGGAAGGAGTGGAGGGGGGAGAAGGGGAGGAAACGAAGAAGGGAGTAAGCAAACAGGCACCTAGACAGGTCTCCGTGAAGGGATGAAGACAGACAGCTAAGACTCCCCATGAGTAAGGGGAGCAAGTGCGGGTGGCTCGTGGCTGGTGTCTCCGGCCTTCGGGAGACTGCCCCAGCGACTGGCTTCTCTGACACAGGGTGGCAGGGAGCAGGCCTGGGGAAAGCTTAGTGAGAGCAGGTCCGGGTGAGTGGGAACGCACACATCAGGACCAGAGAAGCCTGGGCAGATGGGGCACAGAGGTCTGATGGGAGGATGAGGAAGCAGCTTGATGTATAGGTGCACAGTGGGTGGGTGAGGGACGGGTGAGCAGACAGACGATGAGTGAGTGGATAAACTGATGATGAATGGGTGAATGGCAGATAGCTGGACAGACCATGGATAGATGATGGATGACGGATGGGTGGATAGATGGGTAGATAGATGGGTGGATGGATGGATGGACATATGGATGAGGGACGATGGACAGATGAGTGAGTGGATGAATGACGGGCTGAATTATTTTCTCTGAGGTCAGGCTGGACATGGGAAGCCATGATGAGGGGAGAGATGAGAACCACTGGGCCTTGGGTGCTGGCAGGGCTGGCTGCAGAGTTCAGACGGGGGAGGGGTTTCTGGGTTAGACACGGATGGGAGGAATGAGGAAGAGATGGGGCAGCTGTGAAGGCACTGGGGTGGGAGCTGAGGGCCAGGGCTTGCGGGGCGGAGAGCGAGCCTCTGAACTCTCACAACCCACCGGCTGGCCGCCCTGGCCAGGGGTGCTGCCCCATTGGGTGCTGTGAGCAGGAGTGCACCCTTGCCCTCCTCCCCTGCTAAAGGGTGGCAATGGGCAGGAAGAGGGGCCTGGGACCTGCGCCACGCCCCCACCAGGAGCCCCAGCACTAGGACTCTGCAGAGACAGGGACCCCGCGGCCCTGACCCAGGCTGCCCTGCAAGGACAGTTCCCGTGGGACCCTTGCTGAGGAGGCCGCGGTGCGTCTGGGTCGTGGGGACACTGCTCCTTTATCTCCGCTGCCCAGCAGAGCGCCTGGGAACACGGGCCACAAAGCCACTCAGAAAAGTGCTGCTCGGCCAACCTGCGGCATTTTTCTCACAAACGCAGCCAGAGAGGCGGGCTCCTGGGGCTCCACACGGATAAGGCTCTGCTCTGTGCCCGTGGCTCCTGACCCGGCCCGGCTCACAACAGGCACTCTGTTCTCGGCGCAGCACCCCGCCGCAGCCCCCCCCCCCACCAGCGGGGCCCAGAGGCGGCCTGCTCACCTGGAGGCCGGCCCTGCTGGGACCGGAGTCTGTTCCCCAGCTCCAGAAGCTGTTCCTTCTCCAGACGGAGCCGCTGAATCCTCCTGGCGGCCTCCTTCAGCCTCTGCTGGAGCCGGAGCATCCCCGAGGGCGGCAGGGACTGCTGGCCCTGCACCTCGCGGACCGGGGTCCTCTGCCCCTCACAAGAGTCCTGAGGTGTGGAAGGCGGAGAAAGGAGCATGGCTAGGCCTGGTCCCCAGACTCAGGACAGGGACTGCTGTGGCACACCGCTGCTGGGCTCTGCCCCATGCCCTGGGCCTCATCTCTAGTGTGGGCAGTGGGCATTGCTGGTGCCCAGATCGCCAGTTCCCTGAGAAGGCCGTGCAGGCTGCCCCCAGGGTCCCAGGACCTGCCATGCTTGGGGGGAAGGCTGTGGGGGGTGCTGCAGTGACAGGGAGTGTGTGAGTCACCTGCTAAGTGCAAGATCTCAGTGCCACAGGCCCTCACTCCCAGCTCAGGCCCGCCATGCACCCTCTGGGCTCTCTGCCTCCAGTCCTGCTCAGGGTGGTCTGCCTGCCTCCCTCCTTTCCTCTCCCCTCCCTCCCCCTTTACTTCCTTCTTCCCTCCCTGCTTCCTCCTTTTCTCTCTTTTACTTCCCCCTTCCTCCCTCCTCTTTCCTTCCTTTACTTCCTCCCTCCTCCCTCCCTCACTTCCTCCCTCCCTCACTTCCTTCCTCCCTCCTTCCTTTACTCCCTCCCTTTCCCCTTCCTTCCTCCTTCCTTTACTCCCTCCCTTTCCCCTTCCTCCCTCCTTTCCTTCCTCTCTTCCTCTTTCTTCCCCCCCCCCCCGTCCTTCCCTTCCTTCCATTTTTATTTGGGGGGGCTGTTGGGCCACGCCCAGCAATTCTCCAGGCTACTCTCTGCTCTGCGTTCGTTCGGGGGTCACTCCTGGTAGGGTTCAGGGGAACTGTACGTGATGCTGGGCTGGAAGCAGGGCAGGTGCATGTAAGGCACGCGCCCTCCCCACTCTCCGGCCAGACCCTTTCTCCTCTCTCTCCATATCCCTGGATTCTGCACCTCAGGCTTCCTGTCTGGACTCTCCTCAACCAGCCACAGTGCCCCCGGTTCCCAGCGTCCCGACGCTGCGTTGAGAAAGAGGGAGGCCCAGGGGGAGACTGTTGCCCAGAGCCTGGGCCTGGGCCAAGCACTAGGGCAGACTCTCGCCCCGGGGGTAGCAGCAGGTGAAGAGCCGCAGGCTGGATCCCCATCCCTGTGTGGACACCCAGCCCTGAGAGAGGTTTGCAAGGGCTTGGGGTGTGGGCAGTGGGTAGTGGAAAGGGAAGGTGAGGGTTCTACTGTGGGGACAGGAGGAACTGCGACGCCCGAGGGGAGTGGGTGGCCTACTTAGGCTGGCTGCCTCGACACCTGAGCTGGCGCCAGGACCCAGAATACCCCAGAACACCCTGTCCCGGCCCATTTCCTGGTGAACCTGTCCAGGGCTGGCAGGCACCCCGACTCTGCGACTGCTGTTCTCAGCTGGTGCCCAGTATCCCGGCACCTGCGGCAGGCGAGAGGCATGGGGGAGGGGGCGGGGGCAGGCATGAGACAGCCCCTGAGTCTGCCTCCTTGCGGGGAGGGGCTGTGTGCCCAGCCCACACCCCTCTCGTGGGAGGCAGTTCCTCCACCCTGTGGAATCTTGCAGTGGGGGCTCTGCCGGGGTGGGGTGTGGCTGCTGGGATCCCCGTGATCCTGCAGACTGTGGGACACAGAAGAATCACTGCAGCAGCACCAGTGCCGGGACACCAGGAGAGCCTGGATGGCCATCTTGCCCTGGCCGAGGAGCAGCGGGGCGGACTAGGCCAAAGGTGTTGGATCCGTGAGCAGGAGGGGAGGGGCGGGGAAGACAAGGCGGTGCTGGCGGAAGATCCCAGCTCCTAGGCGCGTGCCTCTGCCTTCGGGGATGAGCAAGGCGAGCAAGGTGGGGTGCAGGTGGGGAGCCCCCGTACTGCTCCCCTGGGCCCCTGGGAGAGGCTGTGGGGCCCACCTCTTTCCTGGGGACTAGCTGCTGCCTGCTGGGAACACTGCGGTCTTCCTCGCTGCTGGTTCCCAGGTGCTTCTCCAGCTCGGCCACCTGCCCCTGCAGCTCCCGCACCTCCAGGTGCACCTGGTCCACCCGGCGGGGCAGCTCACAGCGGATGGCGTCCAGGTCTGGGGGTTCTTGAAGCACCTGCAAGGACCCGGACAGTCCATGGGGAGCAGGGCAGGGCCGACAGCCGCAGTCTGGGGCTCGGTACCTCCCCTCTCCCTCTGGACCCCCAGTGGGTGCAGAAAGCCCCACCAGGGTGTGTGGGGCCAGGGCTGACCAGTGAGCCTCACACACAGACGGCAGGGCTGGCAGGGGCCTGACCCGAGGGGGACATGCCTCCCACACCCCGTCCTCCCTGTAACTCTAAGGAAGAATGTCTGGCTCAAGGGGCGTCTGGAAAAAGTCTGCTGGCGAGTGGGCGCTGCGCAGTGGCAAACAAACAGAAACCATTTCAAGGACTCTCCCAGGTAAGTGGAAGGCACGGGACTGCCGAGGAAGGGAAAAGCTCTTCTGGGAAGCTGGACTTCCTGCTGGCGATGCGGGGCCAAGTGTGTGAGTGTGAGTGAGTGGATGTCAGTGTGAGTGGAGTTGTGTGACTGTGTATGTGTGTGGGTGTTGGTGTGTCTGTGTGAGAGTGACTGTGGGTGTGTCAGTGTGAGAGTGTTTGTGTGTATGTCAGTGTGAGTGGAGTTGTGTGTGAGTGTATGTCAGTGTCTGCGTGAGAGTGTTTGTGTGTGTGTGTATCGGTGTGAGTGTTGTGAGAGTGTATGTCAGTGTGTCAATGTGAGAGTGAGTATGAACGTGTGTGAGTACATGAACGTGTCAGTATGTGTCACATGTGAGTGTAGTGGGTGACCATGTGAGTATGTGTATGTGTGTGTGTGTGTGAGTCCCATGGAAGGGCAGAGCCCCAGCCAGTGTGCTCATGCATCTGGAAACCCAGATGAAAGGCGCCACCAGCATAGCAGGGGCCCTGAGTTCTATTCCTGACACCAAAGAAACAATAACAGCCAAACAACTGTGGACCAGACAGTCCTGGGTCTGGCCGCAGGCTCCTAGGGTGCAGCCCATGGGGCACACAGGCTTCCGGGAGTTTGACTCCATTTGAAGACATCAAGGGTCAGGTGATAGGCCTCTTTTAGGGTGACTCATAATAAGGCGTCCAAAGGCAGCAAGAGCACCAGCCAAGAGGAAACACACTGGCCGTCCTGTCCTCGGATCCCACGACCGGGCCACAGGGGACTCCTGAGTGCAAACGTGCTGTCATTCCAGCAACCCCAGGAGAATCGGTGCAGGTGATGCAGTCTCCAGAGAAGACTGTGGTGGCCAGGGGGCCTCAAGGGACTCAGGTGCCCAGTGTCATCAGGAAAACACAGTCAGACTCCCAAAGGCCCCGACTCCATGCTCTGAAGGGGGACAGGTGCAGGTGAGGAGAGCCTCTGAGCCGGGAGGCTGCACAGTGACAGCCACTGTGGAGTGCCCCCAGGAAGGGTCCCCAGCGCTGCCCTTGGCCCGGGCCAGCCTACCACACTCCCGGGATGGGGAAGAGGGCCCAGCACTCGGGTCCCTCCGATGCCCCACACTGTGCCTCCGTTTCTTACTGATTTCTGCTGCAAGGGCGACACCTACTGGCCAGGGGAGGTCCGCCAAAGAGGAGCATCCTGCAAGCCTGAGGTGGGGGAGTGGTCGAAGGACCAGGTGAAGGGACAGGAGGCAGCCTGGGAGGAGGCCCTACCTGATGGGAGGGGTACAGCAGGGAGGCTCAGGAACCTGGGTTTGCCAGAAATGAGCCCTTCTTTTGTTGTTGTTGTTGTTTTTAAGTTTTGGAGGAAAACCAGCAGTGCTCAGGGCTCTAAGCTCTAAGCTCAAGGATTACTTGTGGGGAGCTTGGGAGACCATACTGGGTAGAGGGGATACACCAAAGCGCTCATCAGCTGGACTCGGTCCTGGTGAAGAGGAAGGTCAGCAGCAGACAGAGGTGACTGCTCTGCTCTCTGCGCTGGACCCCAAACGTGAAACCTCCTGGTCCCAATCGTGATAAGGCGCTCTCACCACAGGTCCAAGGCCAAGGCTGACAGCTATGGAGGTGAGACTCAGCCAACCTCTCACACAGACCCTTCGGGGAGGACAAGACTGGGTCACAGCCACACGCTTCAGTTGCCGGAGCCACCCCAGAAGGAAACAGAGTGACCGCGAGTGCCGGACCTATTTGACCCGTGTGCCTGGGCCCGTGTGACCCCGTGTGCCTGGGCCCATGTGACCCCGTGTGCCTCCCATATGTTCATACCTTCTGTCTGAGCTGGGTCACCAGGAAGCTCAGGAGCTGTGCCCTCTCTCCCAGGCTCCTCAATGCCAGTCCCACGCTGCCGCCCGTAGGCCTGGCTCCTGCAGAAGAGTCCCATCAGCTCTGGGATGAGGGTCCTGACCAAGTACCCTCTGATTGTCCCCGCTCGGCATGAGAACCGGCTGTGCAGCCTGCTGGTCATCCGTGACCACGAGGGAAAAGGGTGCACGCACAGAGCAGACCTAAAGTCAGTCTGGGGTAGGCAAGGTACTTGCCTCACCCTGGCCCACCTCAACTGGAGCCCCAGAACCACATACAGTGCTCTGAGCACCCATAGGGGTGACCCCTGAGCACAGAGCTGGGAAGGGTCTAAGTACCCCTGGGAGGTCCAAACTCCTCTCAACAGCAAATATTTTCTTAAATCATAAAGAACAGTTTAACCTGGATTCTCATTGAAATTACTTATCCAGAGTGGGGACACTGGGCAAGGGGCAGCTGAGCTCAGGAGGAAGAGGGGACACTTTCTTCCGCCCACATCAGCAGAGACACTGGCTCCTAAGGCTGAGCGGACAGAGAAGTTAGATATTCAATAAATTATTTTTTATAATGTAGGAGTATTGCTATTTATTCAGCTATTGATTAAGCTGATTGAACTGGGCATGAACTCCACATTACTTTTTCAATGTTTTAAAATTGGATATCCATGAAATAGACCATTACAAAGCTGTTTATAATTGGGTTTCAGTCATACAGTGATCCAGCACCCATCCCTCCACCAGTGTCCATTTCCCACCACCAATGTCCTGCGTTTCCTCACCACCATCCCCCAACCTCTACCCCTATGCCCAGCCTCTGTCTATGGGAGACACTTTCCTTCTAGCTCTCTCTCTCCTTTTCCTCTTATGCATTATGGTTTGCAATACAGGTGCTAACAGGTCATGGTGTTTGTTCAGGGCATTTGGTATTTTTATTGGGACATAAGGCTGGAGTAGCTTTTCAATTGGGTGGTCGCTTTGGGGCGTGGATGTGACTACCGAGGCTTATGGAAGTGCAGGAAGGTGGGGGGAGGTATCCCATTCCGACCCCGAGAAAGCCTGGAGATTTCAGTCACAAAACTCGCATACCAAAATTTTCAGCAGATTACCTCTTGGTGAAGTCCATCCTGAGATGTTGGAGTCAGGCCAGGGGTATGGCGGTGATTTGGGATTTGGAAGCAAGTGGCTGCTGGGGGGTCTGCTTGGATGGGCACCAGGCCAACCTGCTCCCCCTCCAATTTATCCTGGTCTGTTCAGCCATGTGCGGATCCAAGATTAACCACGGCTTTTGATCTCTTTCGAGATTTATTTATGGGTCTCTGAAGCAAGGCCGGTAGAAGAGCTTACAGAGTGGTACTGGTGTTGGTTCGTGGGATGACTGCCAGTGCTTCTGTGAGTATTAGGAAGTGGGGGGAGGTAGCCCACCCCAACTCTGAGAAAGCCTGGAGATTTTGGTCACAAAACCAGCATACCAGAATTTTCAACAGATTATATTATGGTGAAGTCTGTCCTAAGACGGTGGAGGCAGCCTGGGGGTTGGCAACAATTTTGGATTGTGGAAGCAAGTGGCTACCGGGGGCTCTGCTTGGGCGGGCCACCAGGCCAACCCGCCCCTCTCTGATTTACCCCAGTCAGTTCAGCCATGAGTGTGTCCGAGATTAACTGTGGCTTTTGATCTCTTTGGAGATTTATCTATGGGTCTCTGAAATAAGGTCAATAAATGAGCTTGTATAGCTGAGCCAGAGGTGGTTTGTGGGCATGGCTCCCACATACCTAACTTTTGGCCGTTTAATTTTTTGGTAAACTTGGTCCTCAAGTTGTTGGGGTCCTGCCAAAGGCACGGTGGCGATTTGGGGAGTCAGGAAGCCTGAAGGCACCATTGGACTGCTGATGCACTCGCCCCGCAGGTACAGGTTGACCTGTTGGCGGCACCATACCCCCAGATAAAATTTTTTTTTTTAAGTTCAGATAAACTTTTTTTCCTGGTGAAATGTGACAGCAACAAATCATACATGTTAAAAAAAAAAAGCTGGAGTGACAGTTCAGCAGGTAGGGAACTTGCATGCAGCAGACCTGGGCTCGATCCCCACCACCCTATATGGTCCCCCAAGCCCCACCAGAAGTAATTCCTGAGTGCAGACTGTGAGTAAGCCCTGACCACTGCTAGGTGTGACTCTAAATCCAAAATAAATAGTTTTAAGAAGATAGATGATGCTGAAATAAAACTAAGCAAAGAAATCCCCACAATTCCAAGGCAAGTGCTGTGCCCCGATGCTTCAAAGCTGAATCCTCTCAATTGGTTATAGAAGATCCACAACTTCCCAGATGACTGTGGCGCCCCCCAGAGGATCCCAGGGGACAGAGGCAGCCCCCCCCCCACATGGAGGAGCAGCTAACCATGACTGGGAGCACCCCAGCACCGAGGGGACTCTGCAGCAGCTTTGCTCTGGGCGGAGACTCTATTCAATGCTAGAAAATGGCCAGAGCGGCAGGGCAACAGAGAGGGCACCAGCCTTGAACCTGGCTGACCCAGGTTCAATCCCAGCATTCCGTATGGTCCTCTGAACCCACCAGGTGTGATCCCTGAGCTCAGAGCCAAGAGTAAGCCCTGAGTACCACTGGGGTAGCACCAAAACAAATATACTAGAAAAAAATAAATCATGAGGGCTAAAGACAGTATGACAGGTAAGGCACTTGCTTGTACATGACCAAGCCTGACTTGATCCCTGGCACCACATATGATCCCTAAACCCTAGTAGCAATGATCCCTGAGCACAGAGCCAAGAGTTAGCCTTGAGCACCACTGGGTACCAGCCCCAAAAACAAAAATGAAAAGCCCAGCACCAAGAAGAAATTATGAGTGGAGACGTTTCCAAGAACAAGAAATGATGTGAGCAGCGTGTGTGCTGGATCAGCATCAGGGATGGACAGGAGGCCCCCGGGGCCCATCGTTGCCATCTTTCCTGGGCATCTCAGTCTCTCAGCTAGAGGAGACAGTGCCTGTGAGCAAAGCGCAAGGCTGTGACTGCTGCTGGAGCCAGGGCCCTAGCGAGGACAGGCCCAACGAGCTGCCTGGAGCCGCCACCCTCTCCATGCTGGGCGAGCAGGCCCCGGGGGAGCGAGGGGCTGCCTGGATCCAAGCACTGCCCAGGAGAGTCCCCAAGATGCTATGACAGGGCAGCCCCGCAGGAACGTGCCCTGGTCAGAAACACTCCAGGCCCAGCCCTCACATGGGATGACGGCCCTCTTGTGAGGAGGGACATCCCTGGTTTAGGCAGAAACCTGCCATGGCCACTATGGTTCTGGCGCCACGGCAGGGAAGTGACCAGAAGAGACATGGCCGAGAGGCAGCAGAACAGGGCAGAAGAGGGCGAGGGACATGAAAAGAGACCCCCAGGGGGCAGCATCCAAGCGGCCCAGAGCGTCCAGCCCTGACATCCAGCACAGTGCCGAGGGGCAGACATGTGCATGGCTGAGCACAGAGCCCTGAGTCCCATACGGCATGGGCCAGGTGAGAGGCAGGTGGGCCAGAGGGAGGGCGTCTGGACGGGCCCAGGCCAGAGGCCACCATCAGAGCAGAATAGAACAGAACCGCTCCACAAAGAAGAACACAGAGTCCAGTCTCGAGACCATGGCATGTGAGAAGAGCACACAGCCCAGCACACGGTCAGTACATGGTCCAGTTCATAGCGCACAGCACAAGAGGGCGCACGGTCCAGTCCACAGCCCACGGTATGGGAAGGCACGCGGTCCAGTCCACAGTCTATGGCACAGAGGGGCTCAGGGTCCAGTCCACAGTCCACAGCACGGTACAGCACATGGTCCAGCCCACAGTCCATAGCACAGAGGGGCTCAGGGTCCAGTCCACAGTCCATGGCACGGGAGGGCACGCGGTCCAGTCCACAGTCCACAGCACGGTACAGCACATGGTCCAGCCCACAGTCCATAGCACAGAGGGGCTCAGGGTCCAGTCCACAGTCCATGGCACGGGAGGGCACGCGGTCCAGTCCACAGTCCACAGCACAGAGGGGCTCAGGGTCCAGTCCACAGTCCATGGCACGGGAGGGCACGTAGTCCAGTCCACAGTTCACAGCACAGAGGGGCTCAGGGTCCAGTCCACAGTCCACGGCATGGGAGGGCACTATCCAGTAGAAACTGGCGAGGACGCAGTGGGGAGGGCGCCGGCTAGCCCAGCTGGATCCCTGGAGGCCAGGTGGCAGTGGGCCCTAAATGGAGCTCTGCTCGCGAGAGGGCAGGCGCTGACCCAGAGAGGCCCAGCAGCACAAGCTGAGGCCCAGGAGCCCGTGGGAACATGTGGGTGAAGAGGCCGTCTGCAGTCTGAGGCCCAGACTGGCCACACAACAGAGGCCGCTGGACGCAAGCAGGACATGTGGGCACAGCCGGGCCCCAGTGGAGCGTGGAGTGTCCACAGAGCCAGCAGCTGCAGGGACACACGAGGTGGTGGGCGGCCTGCTGCGCATGGCCACCGCGACTCTTCCCGAGCAGCACCCGGAGTGGCCCCACCCCACAACTCACCAGCACAGGTTTCCGGGGCCGTGGCAGCCAGCACCTTGGGAGAGTCGGCCACACCTTTTAGCTGCGCTTCGAGGCGCTGGAATTTACTCTTCAGACTTTCGATTTCTGTTTCCAGGCCCAGCACGTAATCTGCCAACAGTACAGTGCCCGCTGAGACCAGGTGCACTCTCCCCACAGTGCTCATGGAGACCGAGTGTACTCGCTTTCTGTGGTGCTCACTGCCCTCAGCAGGGCTCGGGCTGGGCCGGCCTCAGCAGCGTCCCAGCACCACCGGTGCCCTGCTGCCCAGAGCAGCTCCATCAGGTGCCTGGGGCTGTCCTGAGGCTGTCTTGGGAGCAGCATCACCCTAGAGAGCCAGTCCCCAGGGAAGGGCCTGCCGTCCACCCCCACCCGCAAGCACAGAGCCTGCCTCTCTTGCCCTACTCACCGGGCGGGGGGGTGGCCGGCCGGGGGGCCTGTGTGCCCAGGTGGCTGCTCAGTGCCTCCATCTCCTGCCTCATCTGGGAGATGGCTCCCCGCAAGCTGGTGTTGTGCTCCTGCAGACGCTGGATCTCGGAGGAGGGGAACTCCGCGTTGTCTGCACCCTGGGTTCTGAGGGGCACCTGGGGACCAGCAGGGAGCAGGGAGAGGCAGGCCCTGAGCCTCCAGGCTGACAACTCAGAAACCAGGAGACACACCAGGCCAACAGGGTCAGTGTCCCCAGAGAGGGAACTCGGCCTCCCTGTGGGTACCCCTGAGCATCCTGCCACACTCAAGACGTGAGGTTCTCGAGCTGCTCAGGGCCAGCTTCCTCGCAAAGGAAACATGCCCCTGAAGACTTCAGACAGGACCGGTCCGGGGGCTGCCCAGCATGGGAACCGTCTCCCCCATCACGAGGGCCCAGTCCAAGTGGGTCAGCCACAGCCTCCCACACCCTCCTTCAGCTTCGAGGCTGCAATCTGGCAGGACTCTGAGGGAAAAGGGGCCTGGCCACTCTGTCCAGCACTAGGTGGACAAGATGAAGCTCAGAGCCTGAATCTTTGGAACTTTTCGAACTCAGGGGACCAGTGGCACAGAAAGACAGTTGGCGGGAAGCTCTTGGCCCCGCCAGGTTGTGCCAACGCTCAACACCTGCTAAATCCCTGGCACAGCAGCCGTGCTGAAGAAGTCCTTGGTGGACACAGTGTCAGGCCCTCCAGGCCCAGGGGTCAGGTCACGTCTGCCAGGTTGGGGCCATACCTGGCGGTGCTCAGGGTTACTCTGCACACAGGGATCACTCCGCACACAGGGATCACTCCTGGCAGGGATCAGGGAACCATATGGGGTGCTGGGTTGGGACCTGGGTCAGTCGCGTGCAAGGAGGCAGCACCCTATCTACCGGAGTATCATTCCAGTCCCAGCAGCCATTTTACTTTCCAAGAAGAAGAAGGGAAGAACGAGGGCGGGCCGATGCTGGTGGGAGGATCCAGGGACCCTATAGGGGCCCAGGGTGGAGATGGTGGCCTTGCTAACCTGCACGTCCTTCTCGCTGTCCAAGAGGGAGGCGCAGCTCTGTGCTCTCAGGGCCTGCAGGGCCTGGTCTCGCTCCAGGCTCACGGCCTTCACTACGGCCTCCCGCTCACACAGCAGCCGCTCTGCCTCCTGCAGCCGGGCAGCAACCTGGGCATGCAGGAAAGAGGGGTGGCGCAGCGCGGCCTTTAGGGGGGCCCATGCAGTATCTCACCCATGGGAGATGCTGGCCCCCCGGTACCACCCAGGCTAGTGGGCAGGCTGGACATGGTTGTGCCTCTACTTCTCTTAGGACACACTGAACTTCTGATCTCTGCTGTGAGGCAGCCGGGTGTGGGGAGCCAGCTGTGGGTCGGGCTGGGTGTCGGGGTCCGGTTTGCAGGGCTGGGTGTGGTGGGGCCAGGTGTGGGGGCTAGTAGTGGGGGGCCGGGTGTGGCAGGACCGGGTATGGGTCAGGCCGGGTGTGAGGGGGCCAGGTGTGAGGGGCCAGGTGTGGGTGTCCGGTGTGGGGGGCCAGGTTGGGGGGGCCGGGTGTGGGTCGGGCCGGGCGTCAGGGGTCCGGGTGTGGGGGTGCTGAGTGTGGGGCTGCACACACCTGCTCCCGGGCTGTGGTCAGTCCCTGCACCAGGTCCTCGGCGCGTCGGTGCAGCTCCCGCTCCACGTCATCACAGCGCCGCTGCCAGTCCAGCTCGACCTGGGTTTTGTCGCGCTGCAGACTCTGCTCCCTGCCCACCGCCTGCGCCAGCTGCTGCCGGTACCTGCGGACACGGCCCACACTTACCCTCCCGAGCCTGCTAGGCAGGAGCCCGGGGTTGTCGCGCTCTCCTCCATCTCCTACGGGCACCAAGGACGCACCGGAATGGCCACCCATGGGGGAGAGGAGTGGCACACTCGAGGAACGGGTCTGTCTGAGAAAGCAGGGAGGCAGCACCTGAGGATCTTGGGGAATGGCCCCGGGTGGCGCCCCAAGGTAGAATGGAAAGAGAACCTGAGGCCGGGAGAAGCCTGAGAGGGGTGCCAGGCACAGAAGAGGACTGGAAAGCGGGGGCATGGCCGCACAAGTGTCTGGGGGCAACACATACCAGCAACCGAATCCCCACCTCAGTGCAGGGAGGCCCCATGCTCCAGCTCTGGAGCAGGCCAGCAGGCGGGGACAAGTCAAGTGGCTGCCTAGCTGGCGGGTGACCTGGAATGTGCGGAGAACCCAGATAGGATGCCACAGGGAGGCTGAGGTACAGGGGCGTGAGGGCCCTGCGGGGGGGCCCTCAGAGCCTCTTGTAGCCCCCAGAAGCAGCCTCGGGGAGAAGGAACTTGGTCAGGCCTGCAGGGAATGCACAGGAAAGGAACGTGGGACCCGGGACCCCTGCCCCTCCACGGGCCCAGTTCATCTCCACTGCATAGTACACGGAGTTGCCAGAGTGCAGAAAACGGACAGGGGCCCGAGCTGGCAGCGGAAATGGAACAAAATGGGGTGCTATGTCGCCACCAGAACCCTCAGCTCACCGGGACCCCTGTCTCTGTGGCACCTGGAGGTGTGAGCCCCGTCCTGCCAACTTCAAGGCTGTTTGGGAGGGCAGAGCAGCAGGATGCTGAGAACAAGTCAGCACAAGGAGGAGAGGGACCCCTCAAACCCCACACAGGACAGGCAGGCAGGCAGAATGGGGGTCGGGGGGAGGTTCAGGCCCCATAGCCAGCAGACCGGGGACCCAGGGAGCAGGGTTGTGTGGGCCCAGTGGAGCGATGACCAGGCCTGCCCGCGGACGCTGTGGCTCGTCAGGATTTGGGGATTCTCTGAGCCTGGGAACCCAGGAGGGGAGCAGTGGGAGACAGGCCAGGGTAGCCCAGGGCAGAAGGTTCTCCCAAACAGCTCCCCCACACTGCCCCGGGGAGAGGGGAGGTGCAGGCTCGCGGCCCCCAACACCAGCACTTGCTCGGCGGCGGGCCCAGAACAAGTCATCAGGAAACAGAAGGGACAGCAGAGGCGCAAAGCTGAGCCCCTGGAAGGCACTGGGGACTGGCCAATCTGCAGCAGGACTGGGCATCAACACAGGCCTGGGACACTAAGAGCCGCCAGGCAGGAGGAACAGGACCCTGCATCACCACTCCCATGCCCACCAAGGCCTGTCACCGCAAGACACAAGTGACCCAGTGGGCACAGAACAGAGGGAGCAGCCGACAGCAGGAAGGTGCCCTGGGGGCGGAGGGCTCACCCAATGCAGTGAAAGTGGGAGCGTTTCCTCCCTGCCCTATGACCCCATGCCCGCTGTTCTCAGCTCACTCCTGGCAGAGCTCTGGGCACCCCACGGTGTGATCTCTGTGAGCCTGACCCATGGCCCTGAACAGCCGCCTCCCTGCCCAGTCCATTCGTTCTAAGGGTAAGATGAGATGCCAGACAGAGACGGGGTAGTTGGCACAGGCCACGCTGCCCGTCCTCCTCCTGGCTCCCCCCCAGGGCTCACTGACCAGCTCACCTGTCCACATCCCGCTGGCACCCAGCCAGCTGGGCCTTGAGCTTCACCTCCTCCTCCTGCAGCGCCTGCAGCCGCACATCCTTGGTGACGGCCTCCTGGGAGAGCTGGGCCATCTGCGTGTCCCAGCCGAGCTTCAGGTTGGCAGCATCCTCGCGGAGTCTGGGCGAGGGGACAACTATGCAGCATGTGGGGCACCCATATACCCGCTCTCTCCTCACTCACTCCCACTCGTGTCCGTGCACACAGCCTCAGTGTGCCAAGGTAGCAGCTCGTGCCTGCACGCGGGCAGAACGGGACTCGCCACGCCACCACGGCACCCCCACGTGGGATGCCCACCATGGATCTTCACAGGGAAGTAGAATTCATGTGGTCTCAGGGCCTGTCTGGTCCCCCGTGCCGGCTCCTCTGCGAGCTCCCATTCGTCCCGCAAAACACAGGCCATGGCCTGGATGGACAGGACCAAGACCCTTAATTCAGAGGAGAGTTCCAGCCACGGGGAGTGGACAGCTCCGTCTCTGTCCTATAGACTGGAGGTACCCAATTATGAATGCCAGAAACACTACCCCAGCTGTCCCCCTCCCCTGGAGAAGCAGCTGGCCAGTGCACCCTGGACACAAGAGCAGCCTCATGAGCAACAAGTGCTGCAGCAAGAGGAGACATGGCGGGATATGCCAGCGCTAGGACAGAATTGTGGGGTGGCCAGAGCTGGTCCCAGCCCTGGAGGTGCAGTAATAATCTCCAAGAGCAAAACTCATTTCTGGGCTGAGCCTGAGAACGTTTGTGGGCGATCACAGGGCGAGAACGTCTGTCTCAGGGGATGTGGTGGCTTGGAGGTGGCTGGAGTCTGTTCTGGGTGCAGCCCAGAGCTATGGCATGGACAGCCTGCTGGGCAAAGGGATGGCACAGGCTTCAGAAGGGCCCGGACCAGCCCTAATCAGTCCCGGGGGCAGCAGTGGAGCGGGTGGGGGTATTCAGAGGATCCCTTGCTGGGGGCTCCCTTCCTGAGACACAGGCTGGACAGGAGCGGCAGCTGTTGGTGGCCAGGATGACAAGCAGTGTCAGTGTTTGGGAAGGGCTGCAGCCACGTCTACGGGACCGTGTCTGGGCCAGAGTCTTCCTTGACGTTGCCCAAGATAGTCATGCAGGGGGAGCCGCACCCTCAGAGTCCTGGGCAGAGCCCCAGCAGCCCTCTCAGTGGGGAAAGGCCACTTTTCACCTGTGACGATGACTTTAAAACCATCTGTCCAAACTCACCTGAATTCCTTACTCAGTGGGACTGCTTGAAAAATCTCAGGGGCGTGGGGACCGGCAGAACATGGTGCTGGGGACACGAGGATAAGGAGCTTCCAGCCAGGTCCCCAGCAACCACTGCAGGCAGCACCCCACCTGGCACCCAAAATAGCTGCCTGCCCACTTTCTCATGTCCAGCAGTCCCTCCTCTCCCTACAAGCAGCATCCACACCAGCCAGCAGCGGGTCCTGGCAGGCGCTCCTCTGCTTTGGGGAGTGGCCCCAAAACAAAGCAATAAGGAGAGGAACCTGGACATCAGGAGAGAAGCTAGGACCACCTACTTATATTATACTACTGACCATCTTCATAGATGTCCAGATTTCTACACGAATCGTTCGTGTGTTTCTTAAAGGACCCACACGTTAACCACACACACACACACACGCACACACACACACACACACACTCACACCACACTCTCATGCACGCGCCCACAGACATTCGTGCACACTCGTGCTCACTTGTCAATGAGCGCGTCCTTCTCCTGGGCAGCGTCCTCCCGCTCCCACTCAGCCCTGCGCAGTTGCCGCTCCAGCGTCTGGCACTGCACTTCGAGCTCCCGGATTCGGGCTTCCAGCACCCGCAGCTGTTCCACGTGGGCTTCCTTCACCGCCACCAGTGCTGCGTCCCTCTCCCGGGCCAGACGGTCCAGCTCATCATGCCTGAAGGGGAGGCACAGCAGCTCTTGCACGGAACCCCTGAGGGTCCTGAGGCCCCCAGTCCAGGGGAGACATCAGGGGCCTTCCAACCCTCCTTCCGTGGCATCACCAGCACCCCACAACCCAGAGCAAGCGCAAGGCCAGGTGCCTGCGGGAGCTCCTGCTCCCTCTGCTGAAGGCCTCGTCGCCAGGTTACACCCTAGACCAGCCCTCCATCTCAACCCGACACCATCTGCCCATCACAGCAGGGCCTTCCGGTAGTGAGGGCAGCACCAGGCCACCAAGGGCAGTGGCTGCAGCTCATACTCTCTCCACTGAGTCTGCTCCCCAGGGGCTGCCTTAGACTCCATTCACCCCACTGCTCCCCAGAGGCTCCCCAGCAGATGAAGGGCTTAGGCCCTGGAGTGTGAGTCTAGGGGCCACCACTGCCAGCCTGGTGCCTGGCATACTCAGCTGCCTTGGACACATCGGGGCGCATCAGGGGATAGCACCCCAATGCACGTCCTGCTCTAATCATACGATCTCAACGGTCACGTCTCAGCCCTGAGTGGCCCTGGGCCAAGCTTCCAGTGACCCCTGCCCAAGGTCAGACTCTTGGGAGCTTCCAACCGGGAGCTCTTCCACATGTGCCATCTGGCAAACAGACCCTAGGTGCACACGTGGGGGGCGGTAAAGCTTGTGACAAGGGAGGGCAATTCATTTTCAAACTCCGTGGGCTTGGAGAAGAGCCCCAGGGCAGAAAGCCGCTCCAGAAAGTAAGCAGAAGGCCGGACAGATAGGACAGGGCAAGGTACCTGCTTGACTGTGGCCCACCCCAGCTCAATCACGGGCACTGCTGGGTGGCCCTAGGGACCCCAGAGCACTGCTGGGTCAGTCAGCACATCCTCAGGCTCTGGCACTCAAGGGCCAATGTGGTTGGCCAAGAGTCACCAGATGAGCTCTTGACTGATGGCTCCCCATCCCCGCCAACACCACAACCAAAAGCAACAGGGCAAGCAGGCCCCTTGGCCTGACCCTGTCAGCTGCACAGCCAACTCGGCATCCCCTGCCCCAGGGCCCCACTCACTTCCTCTGAAAAGCCTCCTCCTCCTTCCTCTTGGTAAGCTGCGCTGTGTGCAGCTGTTCCTCCAGGTCTTTGATCCTGCAGAGAACCCAGGTCAGCACAAGGGCAGGCCTGGGGCCGGCTGTCCCCTGCCCAGGGAGCCCAGCGGCACCGGGCATCCTTGACAGCGGTGACATCCCGGATGGCCCAGTCCCTCCGTTGCAGCTCATCCTGCAGTTCTGTGCGTGCCGCCTCCACGTCCCGCAGTGACTCTGTGGCCCGCTGACCTGCTTGCTTCATAGCCTGCAGCTCCTGGCTCAGCACGCGCACCTGCAGGATGCGACAAGAGTGGGAGAGGGATCTCCCAAGGAATGGACGGACCGTGGGAGCCAGCACCCCGGCACACAATCCCGCTGTGCGTGGCCCAGAAGTCCAGGGCTCAGCCCCCCAGCAGCACCAGCCACCCCCCGCTCTCCTGCTCTCGCCCCTCAGCTGCACCCCTCCCCTCCCTGCCCCTGGCAGTCCCAGCTCGAGGTCAGCAGGGGCACGGGAGACCCTCACAGAGGCCTGGTGGCGAGTGCGAGCCTCGCCATCCCCACATCCCTCGGGCAGGGTTTCCCAAGGGGCCTACAACCAGGGGCATCCAGTCAGGTCCATCCTGTCCCTGTTGACAACCCTGCTCCACGGGGTTCGAGACTGCAGGCTTCCCACATGGGTCTTCTCGGGGTGGGGTGGGGGCAGCGCCTGGCCGGGAGTGTGAGGAGCACCGAGCCCCCTTCCTCTGCCCTCCCGGAGCCCACCTTGAGCTCATTGGCCAAAACCGTCTGCTTCATGTTGTCCGCCCTCAGGTGGAACTCATGCTCCCTCCTCTGCAGCTCCGATTCGAAGTCCAGCAGCAGTTCCTGTGCCAGAGACGTGGCTGAGGCAGGACACGGCCACGGGCTCGCCCAGACACAGCCGCGAAGAGGATCAGGCCAGGGTGGGGAGAAGCCCACACCTCTGCGGAACAGCATGACCCCTGGACCAGTGACCCCTAGGCCAGAGTGACCCTCAGGTCGGTGACCCCCTTACAGTGTGCCTTGATGATGGATATCCACATTCGGGGGCACTTGGTTGCTTCTCACCCAGCCTCTGCCTCCGGGGAGCCCGATCACAGTCACTCAGTCTCACGGTCATCTTCTGACTGTCCTGGGCTGAAGCTCAGTCAGGAACAGGCCTAGCACCCCGCAGCTGCAACTTTGAACTCCGAGCTCATGTGAGGTGCCAAGTCCCATGCTCAGCCCACCAGGAGGCCACAGGCAGCTGCCCCAGCCCTGGCCGCAACCCCCTTGGCCCTCACTCAGCCTCTTGGCTCTCATGCCTCTTTTTTTTTTTTTAATTTTTATTAGTGAAACACCATGAGGTACAGTTGTAGACTTACAAATTTTTCTGCTTGGGTTTCAATTACACAATGATCAAATACTCATCCCTCCACTAGTGCCCATTTTCCACCACCACGGGTCCCAGTATCCTTCCCACTCCCCACTCCCCCACCCCACCCTGCCTCTGGTGCAGGGCATTCCCTTTTGTTCTCTCTCTCCTTTTGGGTGTTGTGGTTTGCAAAAGAGGCATTGAGTGTCTCATGCTCTCTTCTTATGGCACCCTGCCCATCACCCCCTGTGCCCACAGAGCTGCCACCACCTGGCCCTGGAGCCGCTGTGTGGGAGATACATGCTCAGCGCCAACACAGAAATGTATGACGTTGCCACCAGCTCACAATCCACTTCTCAAGAAAAGAGCCAGAGTCCCTGTGAGCCAGCGAGCCTCCCCATACTGCGACTGGAAGGAAGCAGCGCTCTGAAACAAGACAGGGCCACCGTGCTGAGGGGCATAGGGACACAGAGAGCAGGGGCGTGCCAACCCGATCCCTTGAGACCTTCCTGGTGCCAAGAGCACCCATTCTCCTTGGGGACCTCTAGGGACCCTCTTCCTGACCAGAACAGCTATCGTGGGGCTTCCAGGCACACAGCTCAGGCCCTGCACATGTCAAGCTCCAAAGCCCCAAAGAGACCACCTGAGAGGATCCCGGCAGCCCCAAAGGGAAGGCGGGCAACAGTGCCCAGTTCAGCCCATGTTTGGTTCCACAATGCCAGCGCACACGCAGGGCAGCACACACAGTCCCATGACTGGCAGAGCACCCCTCAGGCTATCACCCTGTCCTGGGTAGCAAAACTATGCCACCAGCTAGCCAGATATGCTGTGCACCTGTCTGCCTCGCCCACTGCCAAGAGCACCAGACCTGCCCCAGATGGACGGGCCCTGGCACTCCCAGATCTGTGGGCAGACAGGTCACAGCACAGCCCCTCTTGAAGCCAGTTCTGTCTGGAAGCTGGACGGGAGCACCTGTGTGGGGCAGGGATGCTGGAGGAAGGTTGGGCCTGGGGAGGTGCATCACCCCTCTGGCCTCGCTTCCCAGTTCACCTGTCAGCTGCAGACTAAAGAGTGGGAGACCAGGGGCTGGAGCACAGCGGGTAGGGCATTTGCCTTGCATGTGGCCGACCCGGGTTCGATTCCCAGCATCTCATATGGTCCCCTGAGCACTGCCAGGAGTAATTCCTGAGTGCAGAACCAGGAGTAACCCCTGTGCAATGCCGGGTGTGACCCCAAAAAGCAAAAATAAATAAATAAAAATAAAGAGTGGGAGACCAGAGCAGTCTCCACAGCCTGGCACAGTAAAACCGAATGGACCCCCGCACACAGGTGCGTCTGTACCAGCACACAGATAGAAACCCCAGTGCCTAGCACACACGAGGGCCAACCCCATGTTTACAGCACCATCATCCAGGCCCAGAGCAGCGGGGCTCAGAGAACAGGCTGTCTCTCAGTGACCCAGAGAAGTGTGAGCCAGCCTGCCGTCACCCATCTTAAACGGACGAGCTCTCTTTAAGAAAGCATTGTGGCATGCTGGGGCTCTGGCTCTTCCACTGCTGTAGTAAACATCTCGCTCCTATACTCTGAGGTACCGCACCCTGAAACATACAGGGAGAACGTGCCGGCGGGCAGCAACTGCAGGTGCTAAGAAGGGCTGAGACCCACCTGCTTCTGCAGCACCAGCTCGTTGTCCAGCTCCTGCAACTTCTTCTCTAGCTTCCACTTCAGCCTGGCGTATTGTTCCCGCTGCTGGTCCATCACGCTGTTCTTGTCACTGGTGGAGAATAGCCCCAGATATGTGAGGGGTGAAGGTAGCAAGGTAGAGAGGGGGAGGTCTGCACCTCTGCTCAGACAGAACACGAGAGCGGCCCAGGAGGCCAAGGCATCATGCTTCAGTGGCTCCCCTAGAGTCGGGAGGCCCTGGGATGAGAGACAGAATGACAGAGGGGGCTCAGCCCTGGATTCAATCCCTCAACACTGCCCAGGAGAGCCTGGCCCCCAAGGGCTGCTGGAGTCAACCCCCAAAACTAACAAATACAAGACCCGAGAATTGTTCAGTGGCAAAGGCGTCTTCTTGGTCAGCCTGAAGCCATGGCTTTGGCCCCTGGTGCTGCCCAGCCCTGGCACCTCTGCTCGTCTGCAGCAAGTCAGGCCTGCCCACAGTGAGAAGTCTCCAGTCCATAGCAGTACACAAGCCCGGGGGAGCAGCACAGGCAACCCCTGGTCATCATGACAGCAAAAGGAAAGAAAAGAGGCTGGAAAGTGCTGGAGAGAGAGAACAGGGGTGAAGGTACTCGCCTTACATGTGACGGGGTCTGGTTAAATTCCCTGTGCCACAAGGCCCTCTGAGCATCGCCAGGAATAACCCTTGAGCACAGAACCAGGAGTAGTACCTGAGCACCATGGGGTATAACAAAAGAAATCCCAATAGATAATCTGAAAAACTTTTTCTAGATTTTAAGTTAAAGAAAAAAGCAAAATTATGTTTCTGTAGGACTTAGTCAAGTCTTCAACAGACAACAGAGCGGAAGTTTAAAAAAAACAAAACACAAAACTACACAAGTTTTAAAATAGAGCCACATTTAAAGAAATAAAGGTTTTTATTAAGCATTAGAAAAAAAAAGGGCTGGAGCGATAGCACAGCGGGTAGGGCGTTTGCCTTGCACGTGGCCGACCCGAGTTCAATTCCCAGCATCCCATATGGTCCCCTGAGCACCGCCAGGAATAATTCCTGAGTGCAGAGCCAGGAGTAACCCCTGTGCATAGCTGGGTGTGACCAAAAAAAAAAACAAAATACAAAAAACAAAAAAAACAACAGAGCGGAAGATGCGCAGGTGAGCCCGCCCTGCGGGCATCTGAGAACCACAAGAGCCCAGAGCAAAGGTGCCCTGGCCCCCTTGTGCAGAGCTGAGTGCTGGAGTCAGCCAAGAGCTGAGGACAGATTAGAAGAAACACTGTGGAGAAGACGGCCCAGAAGCTACTGGCAGGCTTAACCTCTCAGCCAGCTATGTTTGCAATGTTTGCATATTTTCTGGACCCCAGAAGGAAGAGGGTAGACCCCAAAAGGTAGAAGAGGGTTCTTCTGACAAGTCCCAGATTTGCGAAGAGCAGCAGAGAGTCTTTCTGGAGGAAGAAGATCAGGAGTGGTCCCAGAACACAGAACCAGGCACGGATAGCACCCCAAAATAAAGAAAATTCTATGGACCTAGAATTCATGGGCAAATTCCTAATATGTGACCCAATTTCTGACATTCTGATGATGCTGGAATCCAGAGCCGGGGCGTGCCCTGTCCATGCAGTGACGGGTCGCTGTGGCCGGGGGCCACCTGCGGCCTACCTGTGCAGCCGTTCCAGCTGCAGGCGGTGCTCCTGCCATGTCCGCTGCTGCTGCTGCTTCAAGTCCTCCACCTTCTGGGTCTCCCTGGACAGCGCCTGCCGCAGCTTGGCCACCTGGATCTTGAGCTCGCTCAGCTCGGCCTGCCGTGCGCCCTCCAGCTGGCGAGCCTGGGCGAAGGCTGCATCATAGCGGTCCAGCTCGTGGTCTCGCTCCTCCAGCAGCTTCAGGTTGTACACAAAGTCCTCCCGCAGGCACCGCAGCTCGCCCTGCACCTCCTGCAGCCGCCCCTGTGCCTCCTGCAGCGCGGCCGCCTGCAGCTGGCTCTGCTGGGCCTGTAGTGCCCGCCACTCCTCTTCCTTGCGCACCACAAGCTCACTCAGAGCTGGTTCCAAAGGCAGAGGCATGGCGGCCCTGCAGCCAGAGAAGGCAGAAGTCAGGCTCTCCTTTTCCAGGGCTTTCGGAGGAGGACTTTCTCGCCAGTTCCTAGTCGCCCAGGCATAGCCCGGACATGGCAGAGGCTAGGCTGCTCACTGAGGGCAGGAGTGGCTGGGACCAGGCCTCTGGCCCACTCCGTCTCAGCCTGTGCTCCTGGCTCAGCTGGGGAACGGGGAGGGGACTCCAGTGTCCTGGAGGGAACACGTGATCACCCAAAGAGCCAGGTCTTTGAAGAGCTATAGTCTCTGCTTGGCCCTGGCCACCCCCCCCCCCCCCCAGTCAAGGGCATGTGACAGTCCCCTTCCCACCCAGGACACCCATCCCAGCGGGCTGCATCCTGAGTGCTTCCCAGCCCACCACACAACAGCCATCTGGAAAACTTGAGGGAGCGCTGGGAAGACAGGAAACAAGGAAGACTGGGAAAGGAGATACCCAGAACCAGGGTGGGTCTCACTTTCGAAGAGCCGGGTGAGAGCCCGCCCCAAGCCACATGCATTGGTGTGGAATGATCAGTCACGAAGCACTGTGCTGAATGCTCCCTCACCGGACAGCCACCTGCTCCCCCACCGAGCAGGACAGGACCTGCTCACCCACCTTGTGTCTGCCCAGGTGGCCAGGCAGGGCGGGGCTGGCAGCTGCTCTTCCGGGGCGAGTTAGACATGTCCCCATCCGGGTGGCACACCTGTGGAAAGGAGACTCAGACTCAGAATCCACATGGGTGGGAGCAGGGCAGACAGTGTCAGGGGTGTACACTGAACACTGAGCCACTGGGAGTGACCCCGAGGCCCAAACCCCACCCCCCTGTGTACTGGTGGAAGCGGGCCTTCTGAACTGACTTTGCGGGCCCCAAGATCACAGGGCTGAGTAGCTGCTGCTCGAAGAGGCATTGACCCAAAGACCCCAAGGGGGGCGGGAGGTAGCTCAAGGGCTGGTACACGGGTTCTGTCTACGGGATCACAGCATCAGCAAGAGCGGGCACAACCCAAGCTGGGTAAGGCCCCAGCACCGCCAAGTGGAGCCCCAACACAAAGAACAAAAAGTAGAATTTCAGGTTCATTTTCTTTCTTCTTGTGGAGGAGAAAATGATTTTATCACCTCAGTCATCGCAACTCACTGGTCACCACAGATGTATGGAGAACTTTCTAGAATCAAGGCTGATTGCTGAATAACAGTGGAGAAAGCCACAGAAACACCCCAAAGTACATCGTGGAAGTATAAGACAACTCTCCAGTTACAAGATGGTACTGGCAGTCCCCACACTGGTCAACATAAAGCAAACAAACATTTACAGATAAACATGAGCTTCTATACTAACTCTAGACACCTAAACCAGCAACTGCTCAAAATCAGCAAGAACCTGACCTTTTCTAGACACGGTTGGCTTTCTCTCTTGGAATTGCTACTGAAACCAGCAACGGAGATGGAAAGAGAACAGGGGCTTCCGGCACCTCCCTGGGATTCCTGACCCCACCTGGTCCCAGAGCATGGCTGAATGTGGCCCTGGGGAGGCCAGTTATCACCGCTCGGATGACATGAGCCATGCCCAACACCATCTCCTCAGGTCCTCACACAGAACCACTGGCCCAGAAACTGCCGCAAGTCGCCCTGAGCTCCTCGAGCGCTGCTTGGGCAGCCCCTCAATGACCAATACCAGAGCCCCTGGGACGAGACTCTGCAGGACAGCGCCAGTCTCAGGATCACATTTGCGAGGTACTCAGCAAATGCGACCTGAGCAGCTCTTGGGCCGCTCACAAGCCTGCCCTTAGCCTCGATATCGCAACACAAGGCAGCCACAACGGCCGCCGGCAACAAGGTGAAGGCAACTAGACAGGTTCAAGATGAACACGTCAGAACAAAGGGGTGAGGGCAGCTCACAGACTCGCTCAAGACGAACATGTCACCTCTGGAACACGAAACAGGAAAGTGGGGGGACTGTTGGGAGCCCAGGGAAGCAGCTGGGGCAGCATGTCTCGGGACAGGGCTGTGACCGCGGCGGAGGCCACTAGTGGGTAGGGTCCCTGCACAGGGTGGTGTGGGGAGGCCTGGCTCCAGGGACAACTTGAGCAGATAGACATGAGGCGGAGGGCAGACCCCCAGCATGAGAAGGGGTGGGTTCAGCTACAGGCCTCTATGCTGCGCCCCTCAGTGCCCGGAATACGCTGCCTACCTCTCGGGGGTGAAAGCAGGAGGGACCCAAGAGGGCAGTCCAGTGACAGTCACAGGACCTGGTGACAATCAGAACCCACAGCTCCCGGGAGACCCAGGGCTCAGGTACGCCTGTGTTCTGGGTTTGTTTTGACATCCATGGTGACTCCAGATCAAAGGGCGTCTCCACACCACGTGCCAGGCCTTCCTCGTCACAGCGGGACTGATGGATTCATCCCCAGATGATCGCAGGACAAGGCCAGGGGTCATGGGAGGGCTGGAACTTCCCTGCAGCCCCCAGGGATGATTGGGGCTGGCACTGGTCCCAGGAAAACCCTACAGGCCAAGCCTTGAGAGCTTGTGGCTGGGGCCAGTGGGACAGTCATCTTTTCCTCCCACAGCCTGGTTCTGCCCTCAAGAGGCCCAGAACAGCCCCCTCTGCTCCGCACTTGCCATGCTGGCCTTCAAAGATCCAGTCCCCAGGGCTGGAGCGATAGCACAGTGGGTAGGGCATTGGCCTTTCATGCGGCTGACCGGGGTTCTATTCCCAGCATTTCATATGGTCCCCTAAGTACAGCCAGGAGTGATTCCTGAGTGCAGAGCCAGGAGTAATCCCTGAGCATCGGCTGGGTGTGACTCAAAAAGAAAAAAAAAAAAAAAAGTCCAGTCCTCAAATGTCCAAACCCCAGCACCAGTCTCTGTTAATGGGCTGCTAGTGGGCCTGTCTGTGGATCACAAAATACCTGGATGTTCAAGTCCAACAATCGGACATCGAACAGCAGCCCCGGAGCCCTGCACAGACCCTCTAGAGCCTCAGGCTCCAGGTCTGGCCCGATCAGCTGCCCATGTCCAGGCAGGCCTGGTTTTCATGAGGATCCAAAGAAAACTTTGGGGGAAACTGTGAACCTCTCCAAAGGAGGAGCCCAGGGCCGAGGAAGTTTTGCCCAATACACCCCAAGTCTCATACGGGACTCCAAGGGCTCAAGAGTTCGCAATCCCAGTCTCAGGTGGGCCAAAGATTGAGGGGTGCATCTCAATCTGGGGTGTCCAATCTGTGTTCCCTCTGAGGCTCTCCCAAGTTTACCTGTCAGACTTGAGAACCCCTGGAACTGTCTGCGAGAACCCCAGTTTCCCACACTGGAAAATGCATCCCCTCGGGAAAACAGCTCAGTCCTGGTTCAATTTGATCACAGCCCTGGCTAAGGAGTGAGGTGCAGAGGGAGCAACCTGCAGCCGGCCTCCCTGCCATGTGCAGACAGTGTGACACATCGCTCACCAGACAAGAGGCCAAGGAGACCTGCAAATCCAGTGAGCCCTGCAGAGGGGCTACAGGTTCTCCAATCCAGGGAGCCTTGCAAGAGACCATGCCATAGTACGCTGGCCCAGAATCTGAGGCGAGCATCTCACCATGAGCACTAGGCAGCTGGTCACTGAGAGGGCATCGCCTGCCCAGACAAGAAAGGACCCTTGCTGGCCGCCCATCTGTGCTCTGCAGGCAATCCTGGCTGCCTCTGCTGCCCTCAGCCAACCAGGAAAGGGTGGAATACTGAAGCTCCACAGGAGGCGAGTGCCCTGAAGCCTACAGGCAACCACATAGCCCAGGGCACAGGTGGTGTGTGGTGCGAACCCCTCAGGATCAACCCAGCCCACGCACTTCACAGACCAACCTGGACCACACTGGGGGGGTCTGGGGGTCTGGGGCCGCCCCTCACCCCTTCCTCCTCACACCCCCTCACCTTGCCCCTCACCTCTTACCCCGCCCCTCACCCAGTGCTTAGCACCTTTCTGCTCCTCTCAGCTCCTCAACCTGGCTTCCCTCAAGCGCGCTCCCTCCCCTCCCTCTTCTCACCCCCACAACCCCTCAGGAACCCCTTCCCTCCCCCCTCCATCCCCACCCCCTCCCCACACTCCTCTCGGCCTCCTCCCCCCTCCCCGCACCCCCTCAGTCGGTCCCTCCCCCTCGGCCCTCACCCCTGCCCCTCGCGCCCGGCAGTCTCACCCGGAGCGCCAGCCCCCGCGACTCGCCCCGCGTTGCCACAGCGACCGGCCGGAAGCCGCGCGAGTCTGGCCGGAAGCCTGAGCCAGGCGCGGGGTTCCGGGCGCCGCGGGGGGCGCGGACTGGCCCCATCCAGCGTCTGTCCGTCCTCCTGGGCGGGGGTGGGGGGTGGGGGACGGCGCCCGCGGGCTCCCGCGGCCAGGGCCGGGCTGCTCGCGGTGTCCAGGGCTCCTTGCCGCGCTGCAGCGCCGAGGCCAGCGCCTCCCCGAGTACCTGCCCAGCCCCTGGCCGCTCTCGCGGACGCGGGAGCTGGAAATCAGCTGGAGCAGTACGAAGTGCAACGTGTACCGGGCAGGGGATGGGTGTGCGGGCCCTCTCTCAGCAGAGCGGCTACTGGGAAGCGAGATGCGGAACACCCTCCTCCCCCAGATCCCTGCAGCCCACCCGGGAAGACCCCCTGCAGTGCCCATGCTTAACAGTACCAGGCCAGGCGGGCAGATTCTGGCACGAGAAGAAGGCATCGGGCCCTCTCTGGTGCCGGCTTCCCAGACTGTGCTGAGTCCTGGTTCTGGGAGTGTCCTGGCTTTTGCGAGCCAGTACCCCTGATGTAACTTTCGTCTTTGAACCAGTAACTTTCGTCTTTGAACCTGCTGCCTTCAACGAGGGACGCCCAGGATTCATCTGCTTGTGAGAGGCCAGGCCAGAGGCTGCGGCAGCCACCGGGGGTCCCGCTGGCAGTCAGGCCCAGCCCAGGGGTGGGCAGGTCCCAGGTGCCTCCTGCGGCTGCAGTTCACACTTGACTTCTATGGTGGGACCTCAGCACCTGCAAGTGTCTCCTGCCACACCAGCCCCATGCCACCTTACTTCATGCCCGGAATGAAGATTTCTAACTTGGAGCCACCTAAGGGTTCTACTTCTGGGGGGTGTGTGGGAGCCTCCCCTCTTGAGGTGGTCCTCAGACTCACCCCACTTTACAGAGAAAGAAACAGACCAGAGGAGCATCTGCTGCTGGATGACAGAGGCTGTGGGCGGAGCACTGAGCCACACCCCCAAGGCAGCTGGGGCACCCCAGCACTCCTTGGACAGTGGCCAGGACTTGCATGCCCTCTCGAGGGAGTCCAGTGCTGGGAACTGAGCTCACCGGATATGAGGCTTCTGGAATCCAACCTGTATGACCTCGAGCGAGTCATACTTCTCCCCGACTCTGATGTGTGAGGGGCCTAGAAGGGGCAGGCACAGGGGCTGCACAACCCGTCAGGGTCCTCAAGAGAGGAGAGGGGCTCTTCACCCCATTCACCCCAGGAAGTGAGGGGACAGGGTGTCCAGCACTGCCGCTCCCCACCCCCCAGGCTGCAGTCCAGGGTCACCAGGACATGCTGCATGTCCACGCGGCATAGACACTTTGGAGGCCAGGACAGCAGCTCTGAAGGGAGGGGATGAGGGTGGCCCCGAGCTGTGGAGGATGCTGTTCCTTGTCAGTGCAGAGCCGGGGGGGTCAGTCTGGTGGGCAGGGAGGTGGAGGAAGCCAGAGGTTCTCACACCTTTTCTGGCCTCCCTCACCTGCCTCCACCCCCTGGTCACCAGCCCAGGGCTCAGGAGAACTCCCGGTTTTCACACTGTGCGGTCCCCCCAGAAGCCTCCCCATGCCCTGCTAAGCAACATCCCTCTGACCAGGGCAGGAAAACCAGCAGGGGGAGATGGTGGCTGTGGGGGGCGGGTGTGGAGAGTGCCTGGGCTGGTGGCACCCAGGAGGAGGAGAGGGAAGAAGCGGGGTCCCCTTGGGAGGGTGCAGGTCAGCAGGAAACAAAGTGACGCTTTGTCCTGACCCATGTTCCAAGTCTCAGTTGCTCTCCCAGTCCCTGGCTAGGGCCAGCAGTGGGCAGCACACTGGACAGGGGCAGGCACAGCCCAGGGCGGGCAGTGGAGAGTTGGGCCTGGCCATTCCTCTCTGCTCCCAGCCCATCTGCCTCCCGTCTTCCGGCGGGGCAGTGTGGGGGGCCACACCCCTGTTCCTGCACGGAGCCACTGCAAAGCCACTGCAAAGCCACGGTCACAGCTGGGCCCAGGTGGAAGGAGGAAGCTGAACCCCATCTCCTGCACAAAGGTGGCTCAGAGCCTACCCCGAGGTGTGGCACTGGGAGAAGCAGGAAGCTGTGCAAAGCCACTCCCTGTCTTTTGTCATCAGGATGTGGGGAAAGGGGGCCTGCTCACACAGAGTGCATGGCCTGGAACTTCCTCAAAATCCGCAGGCCCAGGCTTCGGAGAAGTTCTGCACAAACCCAGCCGCGGTACGATCGGAAGATAGCCAGGAGTGGGGCAGCAGCGGAGAGGCCCAGCCGTCTGCCTCCCAAGTGTGGGGGGCCTGCGGTTCCCTTGCCTGAGAGATCTGACATGCCCGTCCCAGGTTCTATGAACAGCATGGGTGGTCAGCAGGGGCACTACTGAGCACATCCCTCCCAGCACACTGCACACACACACCAGCACCTTGTACATCCCTCCCAGCACACTGCACACACACGCACACACGCCAGCACCTAATCAAAGCCGAGACGTGCTGCTGTTCCCTGCCCACCTGACCTGCATCTGGTCCCTCCCCAGAGAGAATCAGTGACTGTCCGGGTGTCACTCTCCCCACAGACACCCCAAATCTTCTGGGAAGAGCACTGGGGGACCCTGGGGAAAAGAGGGGAAGGGGTGCTGCCAGCCTTGGCCTCTGCAGCAGCCTCAGACCTGGAGGAAAGAGGCATTGGGCTCTTGCCACCAAGCGGCCCCTGACACACTGACCGTCTCAGTCTTCCCTGGCCTCATCCCACGGGCCTCATTTGAGAGAGGGGCTCAGGGCTCAGTGATGGGTGTCTGACTCTTCAGGTTCCAGAAGATTCCTCTATGCCTGAGATCTGGCCTGGCCCAGGAGGACTCGGGAAGTGTCCAGCTCCTAAGTTCAAGGAGGGGTGGAGACTCCATTCTGGTCGGGCAGCAGGAAGCGCGGCCCACCAGACCACCTTCCCAGTGCCCACCCTCTGACCACAGGGCCCGGGCTCTAGGTGGCACCTGCTGAGAAGCCCAAGGGCTCCAGCCTCAGAACGGGCAAGGCGGGGGTGGTGGGAGCAGGGGGCACAGGAGGGAGCCACACCCACCCTGGGTGTCCTGGGCTCCCTCAGCTGCCAGAGCCTGGCCCAGGACTCTGTGGGGCAAGCACCCGAGTTGGTTTGGGGGTCCCTGGACTCAGCTGGTGGGGCCTGGAGTTGCCCTGCTGGCCACTCTGGGCTCATGTGGGGTGGCCTGGGTAGGGGTCATGGCTGATCCTTCCATCCCTGGAGAGGGCAGTTCCCAGCTCTAGGGATACATCTGGGGGCTCGTAGTATATTTAACTAGCCTTAGGAGGAGGCAGCGGGCCCCCTGCACATGACAGACCCAAAGATTCTGGGACCTGGTCCAGCCAGGGCCAGAGAATGGGGTCTTTTGGGGAGCCCCAGACTCAGGGTTGGCAGTTTCCAGGGCCTTGGGGGAGTAGCTGGCATCAAAAGGGTGGGGTGGGGGCTCCTGGACTGATGCTGTCTCGGCCTCCCCATCCTGGAAAAAGGTGTCTGTGCCAGCAAAAGTGCCCGAGGTACCAGCTGGGGGGCCCCAGGGAGTGCCCAGTTGCCTTTTCCCACCTGAGAGCGGGTTGTGAGGCTGGTGCGAGAGGGCGAGCGGCCCGCAGTGCAGTCCCGGGGTCCCGGGGGTCCCGGTTGGCTGCCCCGCCCCCGCGCAGCCGGGCGCGCCGTCGGGCAGGGGCGGGGACATGCGCGGGGCGGGCGGCGCGTCCCTGGAGCCCCGGAGCGCCCGGACCTCGCAGCAGGTAGGCGGTGGCCGCTGGTGATCCCCTCCACGCTCTCCTCCGACCCACGCCCGGGCAGAACGCTCTCCTCGGCGCCAACGTGGTGGACACGGACTGGACGCCCCCCTCCCGTGCCGGCGTCGGGGCAGCAAAGGGAGCCCCCACCCAGGTGCCGCCCGGGCGGCGGGGAGGGACACTGGGGCCGCGGTGTGTGTGTCCACTCCGGGGCGCGACCCCGTGGCGGGTCGCGGGCTGGGGGCTCGGTTAGCGGGAACCGTCTGCGCGGGCACTCCAAGCAATACGGTGGCGGCGCCGCCCCTGGCGCGGTCACGTCCCCCACGTCCCCAGAGAGGACCAGCGGGTGGGGCCAGGCCCCTCGGTTCTGGGGGATGGGCGCGGCAGGGGGCCCAAGGGTGAGGCTGCTGTGGACAGCGTGTGCCTTGAACCTGGCCCTGGTCCAGTCTGCTCTGGCCGCCTGCCACCGCCCCCTCAACTTGAGTTCAGGACCCCTGCAGTGGCTGGAGGGTGGCCAGGATGTGGGGAGGGTCCACCCCAACTGAGGTCTGTGGCAGGCAGCCTGCCGCCCTCGTTCCTGGAAAGGCATCTGTTGGGCACCCGGGTCTGGCTGGGTCCAAAGCCTGGTGTTTGTCACCCTCGCTCCAGCCCGCAGTGCTCAGTCATGCAACCCCTCCAGGCACCCGCTCTGCAGGGGTGGGGGTGGGGAGAGCCCTGGAAGGGACCTGCTGCTGGGACCAGGGCAGCACAGAGGGTGGAGGCTCAGTGAGAACTCAGCAGGGCTGGGGGGTGGGGGGGACTCACGACCTAGGGAGGGTCAAGGGACCCTCAGGAGACCCACCTCTCAGGCCGGGCACCACTGGGAGCACTGAGGCACTCCTTCCCGGGCAAGGGCCTCGAAAGTGGATGCTGCACACACACACACACACACACACACCCTAACATGTTCCTTTACATACATCACACCTTCACTACACCCTCATCACACATACATCAAATACACCCTTACATCACAATGCATCTACCCGGGCAAGGGCCTCGAAAGTGGATGCTACACACATACACACACACACACACACACACACACACACACACACACCCTAACATTCCCTTACATACATCACACCTTCACTACACCCTTACCACACATCACACATATGCCCTCACACCACCTTACACACTTACACCCTAATCACACATAGCTCACATCCTCAACACCCTCAGCCATACACATACACCTTCACGCCCATCACACATGTAACACCCTCACTCACACCATCACCCACTTTTGGCCACACCCAGCAGTACTCAGGGGTCATTCCTAACTCTGCACTCAGTAAATATTCCTGGCTGTGCTTGAAGGACCCTATGGGATGACAGGGATGAACCCGTCATCCGCATGAAAGGCAAATGCCCTACTCACTGTACTAGCACCCAGTTCCTCACACAGTCACACATACATACACTTTCACACCACAATAACACACTTATATCCCCACTCACACCATCACCCTCCTACACATACACTCCTACTCATTCACACCTTTACTCATATCAGAATACACAGTATTTCACATCCCTATGTCACCTATGCACACACATACCCTAACTACACCCTCATCACAATCACACACACACTCATATCCCCGTACCTTAATACCATCACCCTCCTACACAGGCCCCACTCGTGAACACTTTCTTATCCAAATGCGGACACACACATCCACGTCCTCATGTCACACATGCGCATACCCTCATTCCTCACGCCCTCACCACAATCATACACACATCCTCACACCCTCCCCTCCCCACTCCTACTCACTCACATCTTCACTCATCAGAATACATGCGCATCTACATCCTCACCTCCCACATACGCACACACCCTCGCCACAATCACACACACACTCACCCCCTCACACCATCACCCTCCCACACATACACACCCCACTAGCCCACACCTTCACTCATCAGAATACACACGCAACCACATCATCACGTCACACGTGTGCACAACCTCTTCCTTCTCAGATCTGACCACCTGCGGGACGGGCCCCATTCTGAGCCAGCCTTTGGGGGCAGAGTCACCTAAAAAGCCCTGAGCCCTCCTCCCAGAGCTGTGCTGTGGGTCATCCCCACAGGGAGACCACATCCTTGCTGGAGCTTCTGCCTGCCCCCGCCCCAACCCTGCCAGCCACAGACATACAGAGAAGGGTTAATGGGGTTGGACAGAGAAAGGGGGCCGCCCCCGGAGCCAGACCAGCCCACCTCAGGCTCTTCTCCCCCAGGTGCTCCTGGTGCTTCAGGTGGAGGATGAGCCTGTGCTGGGATCAGCCAGGGCAAGTGGGAAAGTGAAGGGACCTCGGATGGGCTCATCCCAGAGTTCGAAAAGGGGAAGTGGGCCCCAGCTCTTTAGGTTTGGGGTGCTGAGGCCCGCCCTGCCAGCTTGCCTGTCTTCCTCAGAAACGCGGAAGCAACCCTCCTGGCCATGGGTGGGGCTGCAGTGGACGAGGGCCCACCAGGAGTCCCGGCCCCAGACGGTGGCTGGGGCTGGGCTGTGCTCCTGGGATGCTTCGTCATCACCGGCTTCTCGTACGCCTTCCCCAAGGCGGTCAGCGTCTTCTTCAAGGCTCTCATGCAAGAGTTTGGCATCGGCTACAGTGACACGGCCTGGATCTCCTCCATCCTGCTGGCCATGCTCTATGGGGCAGGTGAGTGTCAGAGCTGCAGAGGCCGGAGGCCCGGGTGGTTATGGGGGACTGCACACATATCGGGGGCTGGCTGGCACAGTGCCCTCAGCCCCCTGCATCCCCAGGCCCGCTGTGCAGCGTGTGTGTGAACCACTTTGGCTGCCGGCCTGTCATGCTGCTGGGCGGGCTCATGGCATCCCTGGGCATGGTGAGCGCGTCCTTCTGCCAAAGCGCCCTCCAGCTCTACCTCACCACAGGCGTCCTGACCGGTGAGTGGTGCCCTGCAGTGGGCCTGTGTTGCCCCCTCCCCGTGTTCCTGTCCTGGGGGCCCTCTCTGGGATCGGGGGCCTCACCATCGGTTGGTCCCTCCTTCAGGCCTGGGGCTCGCGCTCACCTTCCAGCCGTCACTTATCATGCTCAACCGCTACTTCAGCAAGCGGCGCCCCTTGGCCAATGGCCTGGCAGCCGCGGGCAGCCCTGTGTTCCTGTGTGCCCTGTCCCCACTGGGCCAGCTGCTGCAGGACCATTACGGGTGGCGTGGCGGCTTCCTCATCCTGGGCGGCCTGTTGCTTAACTGCTGTGTGTGCGCCGCGCTCATGAGGCCCCTGGAGGCCACCCCGAGGCCCGAGGCCCAGCGCCCGGGCAGGCGGTTGCTGGACCTGAGTGTCTTCAAGGACCGTGGCTTCGTCGTCTACACCCTGGCTGCCTCCATCATGGTGCTGGGGCTCTTCGTGCCACCCGTGTTCGTGGTGAACTATGCCAAGGACATGGGTGTGCCCGACGCCCAGGCTGCCTTCCTGCTCACTGTGCTTGGCTGCATCGACATCTTTGCCCGGCCCCTGGCTGGCATCATCGCCGGGCAGCGCCGGGTGCGGCCCTATGTCCACTACCTCTTCAGCTTCGCCATGTTCTTTAATGGCTTCACTGACCTCACCGGCTCCACAGCCAGTGACTACGCCGGCCTGGTGGTCTTCTGTGTCTTCTTTGGCATCTCCTATGGCATGGTGGGTGCCCTGCAGTTCGAGGTGCTCATGGCTGTCGTGGGCACTCACAAGTTCTCGAGTGCCATTGGGCTGGTGCTACTGCTGGAGGCCGTGGCCGTGCTCATTGGGCCCCCGTCAGGAGGTGAGCTCGGACAGCCCTGCAGCTGGCCCAGTGGGGGCAGGGGCGGCCAGGCCGGCTCTCCCTGAAGGGGTGGGGTGGGTGAGGAGGGTCTGGGTCTGACACCTCCCGTCTGCAGGCAGGCTGCTGGATGCCACTGGCGTGTACCAGAACGTGTTCCTGCTGGCGGGGGCTGAGGTGCTGGCTGCCTCCCTGGTGCTGGTGCTGGGCAGCTACTTCTGTGTGGTGCAGCAGCCGGTGGCCACCGTGCAGGAGCCGCTGGAGGAGCCAGGGGTGGGCATGCGTGAGATGCAGCATTTGCCAAAGGCCCAGCCTGAGAATGGGGAGATGGCTGCACCCCCCGAGACAAGTGTGTGAGGTGCAGGCAAGCAGGCAGAGGCTGTTGCCTGGCCACTGGCTGGTGTCATCGTGGGGGTATGGCTTCAGGACAAGCGGGACTGCTGTCACTCAGGCCTGTGCCTCGTTTTCAGGGGCAAGAGTGGGATGGGAACCATGCGGTTCCAAAGTAGACCTGTGGTGGAGCCAAGTGTCAAGGTCACCAGATGCCCACACCAGGACCCCCACGGCTGATCCCCCCAAGCACCCAGTGGGCTGGCTCAAGGACCTAGAAACCCATGCTTCAAGACAACATGACTTTAATCAGAGGCTGGGCCGCAGAGCTGGCTGATGGCCTGAGCTGCTAGCCTGCTGCCCGCTGGGGTACCCAACATGTTCCTCTTGCCTAGGGCATGGATCCGTCTGCATCTTGGAGAGCCGATCAGAGCCTGGGAGGGGCAGCACATCCCAGCCGGGGCAGTGGCTGGACCTGGTCACTTCACAGGGCTGTGCATGTCTCCATAGCAGAGCCTGAAACATGCATGTGTGCACCCTGTTGGTCATGTGTGTTTAAAGTAAACCATCCTCTGCCTCCGTTTATTCACCCTTGGTTGGCTGACGCAGCAGGCATCCAGTTCACTCCCCATCCTCCTTGTCCAGCCTGCCTGCCCTGTGGCCAGCGGTGGCCTGCCAGGTGGGGTGCCTGTCAGAGGTTGTCGGGGCCGCCTCAGTAGGTGGTGCGTCGTGGGCGCTGGGGGCGGTAGCGGGCCCCCTGACGGAAAGATGGCACGTCCCTGCTCCTCTGCAATGAAAAGCGAGCGAGAGCTGATGTGGGCCAGGCCAGCACCGTGGCATTCCCCCCCATATCCCCCACCCCATAGGCTTTATGCAGCCTCCTGCCACCCCTGGGGACAGGGGCCAGACATGCCCGCTCCCTTCTCCCACATGCCAGATGCTTGGGGTCTTGCTTCCAGAACCGGCTGCAGGAACTTAGGCCAAACACTCCCTTGGCCTGTCAGATCACTCTGAACGGCTCCTGCTCCTTTGAGACCTTTCTCCTATGTACCCACACTGCACCTGCCTGATGGCCTGGCCCCAGGTGAGGGAGCTATGCTGGCCCAGGGACCCCTGCCCCCACCCCAGGAGCTGCGCTCGCTTTAGGGATCCCCCTTCCCCAGAAGCTGCACTTCACGGCTGTTCTCAGGCGAAGTGGCCAGTGTTCCCTGGGAGTCGCCAGCTTAGGTGAGCCCCTGCCCACTGCCCTCTGCCCTTGTCACTGGGCCCAGGTGTCCCTGCACAGCAGAGGTGCGAGGCAACACTCAATCTGAACGGGTAAAGCAAGCAGTGGTCTCTGTCCACCAAGCTCTGGCAGCGCCCTAGAGTAGCTCCAGAAACAGTGACCTTGCGGGAGCTCGAGGCCAGGCCACCCTCCTCTCAGATAACACTAAGGCTGAGGGTGTGCCCAGGAGCAGGGTGGTGCCCTGGGGACAGGACTCGCCACTGGCCACTGCTCACTGGAACTTGGTCACGCGTGGCCTAGCCATCATAAGCCATGAAGTCCCCTGGGCCCGCCACTGCTGGAGAGGGAACCCAAGGCCATGAGAAAAGACAGACGCCACTGCCCGGCACCTGGAAGGGACACGCCTGAGCCGCACTTTCCCACATACCCGCACGACCAGACCCTTGGTGGGCTGGGCATTTCCCGGCCATGCCCAGCAAGGCCAGGGCAGGCTCAGCCCCACCGCCCTGAAACAGGGCCAGGCAGCAAGGCCCCTCCACGGGCGCGATAAAGAGCACACGATGGGGAGGGGAGAGGCGAGTCGTCGAGTTTATTATTTACACGATGGGAAGGACACAGGCTCAGCGGGCGCAGAACACGCAGCCCAGACACGGGCCCCGACGCATGGGCTGTGCCGGGTGGGTCAGATGCAGCGTCCAGCTGCCCATAGGCTACTTGAGGACACGGCCCTAGTGCACAGCCCAGTCCCAGAAGGGCCTGGGCTCCAGGCAGACATGGCGACAGTGAGGCCTGCAGCTGCTGACCGTCTGGGGGAGCAGGTCACGGTGAAGGCCTCAACAGTGCCGTGACCACCCAGGCCTCTGCTGTTCCAGGGTCGCAGTCCTGTCCCCTCCCCACGACCAACACCTGCCCAAGTGCGCAGTGGTCAGCTGAGGGGCCGGAGTGCAGCTAAACGGGCTACACAGCCCACAGGAGTCCTTGGCCAGCGCGTCCAGCAGGCACCCCGCTTCCAACTGCTGGCTCTGGGGATGAAGGTGCCCACAAATGCACACAGCACCACTCCTGTCCACGTCCTCCACTGTCTCACCGGACGCCGCAGGGTCAGCGCACCCATCCTGGTTGCACATCTGCACGGGTCTGGCCACAAAGCCCCCAGACGCCAAGGTAATGAGGCAACAACTAGTGGCCAGGTCAGTCCACAGGGCGCAGGCGTGACCAGGACGAGCAGTCTCGTGTCCTCCGATGGACCTGCTGTGATGACTAAGTCCGAGGCTGCGGGACGTCACGGCGCTCAGGCCTTCGGCTCAGGGTGGCCAAGGGAGAGCAACGGCCAAAACCAGGTAGCGGGTCACAACACACGCACGCGTACACACGCACACATGTGCGCACAGGCGCGCACACACACGCACACGTGCAACTAGACGTCGAAAGAGAAAAACCCTTCTCCACAGGGACCACAGGACAGACAGAAGCACAAAGCGCAGATCAGCCCTCTCCTGCCCGGCGCCATCTGCGCGGGAACTCCACTGGCGTCTTGGTTTCAGGATTCTTTAAAGTCAACATCTTTCTCAAGACCGCGAAACAGACAAGAAAGAAACAAGAAAAAGACAGGGTTCTTTACACAGATTTAAGCCAGTAATTTTTAGCAAAATGATACAAAACTGTCTTAACCAAGTGGAAGTCGGAAGTTACAGCAGACTCGTCGGGGAGCGGAGTGCCGCCACGCAGGGCTGACCAGCTGCGGAGTGGGGGCCACACTCTGCCATGTCCCGGCCCTTCGGGGCCGAGTCTGCGCGGCCTCGGTGGCAGCGCCCGGCGAAGGCAGCGCTTGGAGTCTGTCTGGTTTAGTTTGTGTCTGTTCCCCCAGGGGTGTCGCTGGGTGGGTGGCCTGGAGAGTCCCGGTGTTAACATCCGGCCCTAGACCGGGGGCGTGCCACTAGTAAGCCACTGTAACAGAGTAGATCAGCCATGCATGTCTGCCCTTCACGGGACAAGCAGAGTCCTCACCGGTGCACAGCAGACTGAAGACCGCTGGAAGCCACCCGACCTGGGATCTGTCGGAGCCAAAGCACAGGACAAGGTCAGAGTGAGGCCAGGACTCGCCCTGCAGGGGACACGGAGGCTGCCTGCACCCCCCCACCTCTGCAGAGGTCCCTCTGGGGGCCAGCAAGTGTGCTCAGCAGGGAGCCGGGGAGGGAAAGACATGCAGGCGGGAAGCCGAGAAGCTTGAGAACGACCCGAACAGAGTCCAAGCAGGGAAGACGCTCCCGGCCCTTCCTAGAAAGTGACCTAGCGTGTGACAGAGAATAGTCCACCGAGGCCTGGGGACACCCCCGTGGGGGGAGATGTGGAAGATGGTGCCGCAAGGAGCTGCAGAGTGTGAGACAAGAGGGCGCCTGGCCGGGTCCCCCAGCCATGCGCCAATGGCAGCGGAGCAGGGGGCAGTGGCTGGTGGCTGACAGACGACAGATGCAGGGACGCGGTGCGGGCAGAGACCGGAGTCGAAAGAAAAGCCAAACGAGGACAGAAACCAATGACGAGAAGAGAGCAAAGCCAGGACGGCAGAGACCACCAGAAATGTCGCACAGCAGAGCCAAGCGCGGCCCACACAGCTGAGCACACAAAGGCTCCCACACGGACGGGCCTCCACAGACTGCTGCCCTGCTGACACAGCTGCCGGGGAATTCCCACGCGGGTGCCTGGCATGCAAGGCCCTGTGGCAGCGGCGTGGGGCTCCCCCCCGCAGCTGTGCTGTGAGCACACTCACCGGTGCTGCCTTCCAGCGGGGCCGCGCAGCTACTTGCCGTGGTGCTCGAAGGGAATGCTATTCTGAGGTGGGAGAGACAGCTGTGGTGAGGCGGGCCGGCCCTGTGGGGACGGGTGCTGCTCACCTGCTCGACCAAGGCCATGCGGGGCCAGGGATGGCCCGAAACCCTGGCACCACCCCCTCCGGAGCTGCCCACAGAAAAGGCACCCCTCACGCCTCCCACGTGGAAAGGACCTGGTCCTGACAAAGGGCAGCCTGTAGAGGCTTGTCCTCCTGGACCCAAGTAAGACGCAGATCTGACTGGGAAGCAGGGATGGAGGGAATCAAATAAGCCAGCAGGCTGTGGGGACCAGAATTCTGCTGGCTGGTCAGCGTGCTCCAGTGGGGAAGCCCTTTGCCACACCTTGGTGCCCGGCTGATGCCCTTAGCTCCCAGAGGAAGAGGCCAGATCGCCAGTCTGGGATGCAGGACTCCGGCCCGCACCCCGCGTGGGGGGCCAAGAGATCAGGGCAAGAGTGCTGGGCTAGCCCCCTAACATCTGCCTCAGCTGTCTCTGCCGGTGCAGGGAGTGGCATGAGACCTCTGGGGCAACGCCTAGGGGAATCCCCAGAAGACCGAAGACCTGCAAAGTTTACCCCAACAGGAAACACTCCCACAGAGACTCTATGGAGACCCGAGCCTCGAGCTCCAGTTCACCTCATGTTCCCTCCCAGGAGTTTAGAGAAGGGAGAGAGAGAGAGGCCTCGCAGTGTGGGCCTGCCCATCACAACTCCCTAGCACGCAGGGCCCAAAGGTCCTGCCTTATCTTCAGTGGCCAAGCCTCATGTGGACCGAGTCTAGCCTGAGTCCAGCGTCCTTGGGCTGTGGCCCTGTCCGACATGTACAGGGACCGAGGCAGCTGTGATCTGGCCTAACAACTTGGCCAGAGGCTCCCAGAGTCTGTGGGGAGCCTGAGTTCTATCTGTGGGGGCTGCAGCCCAGATCTAGTCAATCCAGGAGAAAGTGGCAACAAAGATGCCCGCGCCAGCAAAAACACAAACAGATGAAAAGAGCACGGCCCTAGACACGGGCACTCCCTCTGCCAGGGCTCGCTCAGCTCAGACACGGCTCTGGCAGCCGAGCCTCCCACAACACGAAGAGACACAACCCAGGCAACAGGCACAGCCCACCCACAGGCTCTGGACTCAACACACTGTCCCCAAAGAGAGCGGTCTGCCGAGCAGACTGAGGGGACAGCGGGCGTGAAGAGCTGCTCCCACGGACCAGCAGTGGAAGCTAGAAGGATGATGGGGCAGACGGAAGGCGGCACTGCGGGGCGGCTTGTCCACAAGAAGCCGCATCCAAGGATGGCAGAAGCGAAGACCCTCACGTAGGCAAGCGCTGGGCACCAGGCTCCAACAGGCCCAGTGATCAGCGGCAATACCCACTGCACAGCGTCTGCCCACAAGAATGGGGAACGAGGGTGCCCGCCACAAATGGGGGGCGAGGCCAGTGGCACAAGAAGCCGGTCGCCACGCTCACAGCCGGCACAGAGCCCCGTACTCTCGGGGCGCGTACCTGTGAGGTGGACATGCGGGAGGTATCTTGTCGGCCCGTGAGATCGGATGAGGAGATGTTGACGGGGGCGCCGCGGTGCAGCCGCATACTCACTTTCCGCTCTCTTTCCATGCCGGACACGGGCCGAGGAGAGGTGTTAGCTGGAGGGAGGAGACAGGTGGGGCTGAAGCGCAGGGCAGGCGCACGGCCGTCAAAGGTGCCCGCGGTACTCGTCATGCTGGGGCCGGGGGTTGTGGGGGAATGTGGCCACGAGAGACGCCGCTGCAGAGAGCGAAGAGCAGAGAGCAGGGAGCAGCTCTCCCGAGACCACGAGCCGGGCCTGATGGCCTCCAAGAACAGACCAGACTAGGGACGCCACTGTCCCCCTGAAAGGTGCCTCCTGGCTCAGCTCGGAGCCAGCTCCTCTGGGTCACACAGCCGTGGACCGTCCACTGCGGGATGCGGCATGAGTTGCCGACCCGGGACCACTCACCGGTGTGTGAGGTAGGGGTGAGGGGGGTGGGAGGAGCCACTTCCTGTGTCCCCCTCAGCCGGCCCGAGGCCGTGGAAGGGAGGCCACGGGTGGCTGGGTTCCGGGAGTGTCTCAAGCGCTCCTCGCGGTCCCGGCGCTCCCGCTCTGCATCATCAGCAGCCCGGCTGGCTCCCTGAGGAGAGAGGATGAGACCAGGCTGAAGCAGGGGCTTACGGAGCGCCCGCCACTATGGCACGGGGGCAGGGCTGCAGGGCGCGGTCTCTCTCTCCAGGGCACCAGCCAGCACGGCAACCTGGCCTCTCCTCCGTCCTGTCCTCCCAGACGAACACACAGGGACAAGCAGCACCCTGGCAGAGGGGGTCCGACACACCGACCGTCAAGGGGGCCTGGAGCAGGAAGGAGCGGCGGCACTGGGCAGGCTGAGGAGTCTAAACAGAGCCTGGACCTCCCAGCCCAGGGCGAAGAGTGTGCGGAGGCAAGCCCTGCTCGGGCTGGTGGCGACAGCAGGGGCACGGCTGAGTCTGCGGGCGACTTCCGATTCACATGCTTGGAGACCACGGCGTGGCCAGGCCCGCCTCTCACTATAGGCCCTTCTCGAAGGCCAAGAGCCCTGCCACATGGAGGCAGCTCCCCTCCTGGTCTCTGCAGAGCTGCAGGCTGCCCTGCCGGGTTCCCGCACCCCGATTATCAAAGAAACAAAAGCTCTGTAGAAGGGGATTCTGGCCGCAGTCAAGAGGACATGAACTTCCTGCGTTAGAAGGCACAGACTCAAAACACACACACACACGCAGGCAAACTGAACTGGGGCCGCAGGAGATCAGGATTGGCCCCTCCTGCCCACCATCCGGGTCACACCCCTCTCAGAATCACGACCAGTCAGCCTTTCCAGTGACGCCAACAAGTGTCCCTGGGCAGGAGCCAGGTGCCCTGTTCCGGGCTGAACAGCATCTGCGTGTCTCGGTTCGCCCGCTGTGGATTCCTCCTCTGGCCCATGGTCCTGCCAGCGAGTCCCAGGGCAGGAGGCTCCAGCCAGAACCAGCCCGGGAGGAAGAGCGCATCCACATGCCCAGAGAACAGGCATCCACGTGTTGTGCACTTACGAACTTGAGCATGTTCCAGTCGAACACGTAGTCGTAGGAGAAGCCCTGCCGGTGGAAGAGGTTCCGGAAGAGCTGGCGCAGGTACGAGTAGTCGGGCTTGTCGTCAAAGCGCAGCGAGCGGCAGAAATTCAGATATGTGGCAAACTCAGCTGGAAAACAAAAACTCCACACTGACTAGCAGTGCCCTGACCACGAGCCAGGGCTGCTGTCAGCCTTACCGTCTCCTGTGGCATTTGTGGGAGACCCATAGGGTGCGAAACCCCACCCAGGAGAAATCCAGCAGCAAAGGGGGCCACGGGGTTCCTCTGTCCCTCACTGTGGGGAACACGAACACTAACAGGGCAGGGTCTCCCCCAGCTCTCCTTGCTGCGGGGACCACGGACACTCACAGGAGCTGAGGCCTCCCTCCATTCCTTGCTGCGGGGACCATGGACACTCACTGGGGTCGGGGCCTCCCTCCATCCCTTGCTGCGGGGACCATACTCAACTGTCCCTCACTGCAGGGACCACGGACACTCACAGGGGCCAGGGCCTCCCTCCGTCCCTCTTTGCGGGGACTGGATATTCACAGGTTACAGTCTCCCCCCGTCCCACGCTGTGGGGACCGTGGACACTCACAGGGGTAGCCTTTGCACAGCACTTCGATGGGCGTTGACATTTTCTTCTCGCTGATCCTCTCATACTTCTGTCGCTTGGTGGCGGCCTTCAGCCCCTGCCAGGGCAGGGAGCCCAGGTTGAAGTACATGAGCACATATCCCAGTGATTCCAGGTCGTCCCTTCGAGACTGTTCTGCAGAGAGAAGGGGGCTGGGTCAGACAGACAGGCCTGTGGGGGCAGCCACACCATTTGGCCCCCAGGACACCACAGCTGACTGACCTCTGCCCCCAGGGCTGACGGGGCACCCCGAGACTCACCGATGCCGAGGTGCGTGTTAATAGAAGCATACCGCGCTGTGCCGGTCAGGTTCTTGTTCTCGCGGTAGGGGATGTGCTGGTGGGTGCGGGCGTCCCGATACTTCTTGGCCAGCCCAAAGTCGATGATGTACACCAGGTTGCCTTTCTTCCCCAAGCCCATGAGAAAGTTGTCTGGCTTCACATCTCGATGGATGAAGTTCTTCGAATGAATGTATTCAATACGACTGATCTGGGGGCAGAGAAGCGATGGCAGGGTCATACCCAGGCAACAGCCCTGGGAAAGCAAGGGCCCAGGAGGCCTGCATACACTCCCTCGGGCAGAGTCAGCAGTACCCGGCAGGGTAGGGCAGTGCTCACCATCTGGTCGGCAAGGAGCAAGACGGTTTTGAGGCTGAACTTGCGGGAGCAGAAGTTGAAGAGGTCTTCGAGGCTGGGCCCCAGCAGCTCCATCACCATGACGTTGTAGTCGCCTTCCGCCCCACACCACCTGATGGTGGGGATGCCCACTGCAGGCGAGAGTGGCTCTCAGGCAGGGACTCATGCTGACCAAAGACCCAATGCCCCGTATCACACTCCGTCTCCCAGCTGTAAGCATCTGACAGAGTGGCACCCACCCAACTCAGGAACTGACAGCCCCGACACGCACATTCGCTCAGCTCTGGCCTTCTCTGCCCACTTCGGAACCAACACTCAGCCCCCGACTCCAGCTGTGTGTGCCTCCCAGGGCTGGGTCATGAGGGAAGTATGGGAAGGGGTGGTGGGGAAGACGGGATTCAGGAGACAGTCCTAAAGTGTTCTGCCAGCCCACGTGTCCCAAAGGACACCTCAGTGTTGCTGTGGACCAGCCTGGGCCGCCCACCCGGCCCCACAGGTGAGCTCATGTCAGCTGTGAGTCTCTAAGACACTTACAACCAAGAAGTTCCCGGACAACTGTCCCCTGCCTTTATACCTATGAACTAGGAGAAATAGAAATGTTTGTGGCAGAAATGACCGTTTTGTTTTGATTCATGATCACACCCAGCAGTGCCAGGAGCCTGGGGTGTTCGAGATGGAACTCAGGTGCGACGTGCAGTGCTCTACCCCAGTCTCAGGCCGGCCTGCATCACTCTGGGTGCGTATCTGGGCCACAACTAGCAGTGCTCTGTGCCAAGGTCCCTCAAGCAGGCTTTGGGGACCCTATGGGGTGCTGGGATAAAAATCAGGGTTAGTGCCCTGCCCCCATGCTATGTCTCTGGTCCCTGTGCACTGATTTTTTCATCTAGTATTTTTCATTTACAGAGACTGGAAACTGAGGAGGGATGAAATGCTCATAAGAGAATGGCAGACAGGCAAATGCCTGGCTGGACTCAGGGCATCAGTGAGCCCAAGCTTCACAGCATGAGGGTCTGGCCCTGGGCCGTGGCCATTCCAAGGTCAGCACTACACCGACCCCCACCCTGTTTCTTGGTCTGGTTCTTCACTGACAAGTGCTGAAGAAGCCTTCTCATTCCAAAATAAGTCCAGAGGGGGTGCTGGAGATAGTACAGCCAGTAGGGAATTTGCCCTGCATGCGGTCGACCAGGGTTCAGCCCCCATATTGTCCCTTGAACCCCGTGAAGAGGGATGCATGAGCATAAAGTCAGGAGTCAGCCCTGAGCAGCCAGGTGTGGTCCCAAGACACACATGCACATACGCACATGCGCACGCATGCATGGAACACCCAGCCATTTAATCTATCACTGGCAACAGGAAGTGTCCCCAGTGAGATCCCAAACTCGGACTGCATGGCTGCATTTTTTGTTTGGAGAGCAGCGACACCAGTGTTGGGTAACACTGGTTTGTCTTTTTCCGCCCCGCGCTACAGGGAGCTTAGGTTTATTGAGTTACTCCCATTAGAATGCTCCCAAGCCACACGCAATTCCATCAGGCACTCCCAATTCTATATTGTTTTTCTCTTTTCTTTATGTCTTTTGCATGGTTTAGCAATGTCCTTCTTGACTCTGAATAATATTTACTCCTGGGCATCCAGATTTACTTGACTTAAGCTTCAGTTGCCCTTACTTTCTAACACCCCCAAAAGGAGGGTCCCAGCAAGGGACTTGGGTAGAACCAAGGCAATCAATAAGCTACCCTGGCATCGAAATGGGACAAGCTAAGCGCCATAAGAAGTGTAAGAGCATGGTCATGGAACAAACTCTGTCATGACTCAAAAAGAAGTAACTGAATAAGGACCCTGCTGGGGTTAGGAAAGACTAACGTGGCCCGAGGACTGTAGTCTGGGATATATAGCAAGATGTCCCCAGGAAGAGCACCTGTAAGCTTAATACATCTCCTACTGTGTTCATACAAACTGACTAGAAATATTATTCAGTATGATTGTTTAAATGGATTACTAGCTGAGGAATAGAGAAAGCAATACGTCCTTAGAGTTAATCTAGAACTTCTACTTCTGAAGGTGTGGCTTTACATCTATTTATTGTTACGATAATGTTCAATCCCACCCATACGAACCCCCACATTTCATGATTTCTACATAACTGCTCTGTAAATTATTTGGGCTGGAGTGATAGCATAGTGGGTAGAGCGTTTGCCTTGCACGCGACCAACCCGGGTTCGATTCCTCCATCCCTCTCAGAGAGCCTGACAAGCTTCCCGTGGCGTATTCGATATGCCAAAAACAGTAACAAATCTCACAATGGAGGGGCTGGAGTGATAGCACAGCGGGGAAGGCATTTGCCTTACATGCGGCCGACCTGGGTTTGATTCCCAGCATCCCATATCGGTTCCCTGAGCACCGGCAGGCATAATTCCTGAGTGAAGAGTCAGGAGTAACCCCTGTGCATTGCCGGCTGTGACCCAAAAAGCAAAACAAACAAATCTCACAATGGAGACATTACTGGTGCCCACTCGAGCAAATCGACAAACAACAGGAGGACAGTGCTACAGTGCTACACTGTAAAGGATGAAATAAAATGGTCACTGATCACAAACCAGAATGTGGCCCATTCCTTCATTATCTGTCACCATTGACTGGCCTGGGGAGGCCATTCTCGGCCACTGAATGCATGTGTCACGCACCCACACTTTGAACTCACAATCAGAAGCCAACACAATAAAGGTTTTCTTCTTCATGTGCATGAGCTGATCCCTTCCACCAAGGAACCATTAACCCAGAGGTTAGGGGGCACCTCACAGGTTTTCAGAGTAATGATGGTTAAGGTTTGGAGCCAATGCCCCAGAACACTGATTCCATTGAAGTACTTTTGTTGTTGACACCAGCAGTCATAAAAAATTCTTGCTACATGGGGCTGGAGAGATAGCACAGCGGGTAGGGCGTTTGCCTTGTACGCGGCTGACCCGGGCTCGATTCCCAGCATCCCATATGGTCCCCTGAGCACCGCCAGGAGTAACTCCTGAGTGTAGAGCCAGGAGTAACCCCTGTACATCGCCGGGTGTGACCAGAAAAGCAAAAAGCAAAAAAAAAAAAATTCTTGCTACATCTTACAAGCCTCTTGTATGTGGGTTGCACAGTCTGAACCCTCAGGGTCGATACTGCGATGCCCACACCTACAGAGCCTTGTCCTTGTTCACTTCTCATGCAGCCACAAAGCCCGAAGCATCGCTACATGGAGAGTGCTGGCATCAGCACTGGCTTGGGCTCTCCAGGGCGGTGTTCCTTTCCTGCCCTGCACACATACAACCTGTCCAGAGCACTAAGGATCGAGTCCAGTCGGAATGCAGCTGAGAGCTCCAGAGATGGGCGTCCTGGGGAGCAACTCAGTCCAGTGTGAGTTCTTGCAGGGAAATCCCCCAGGGCCTCGCACATGCTGTCCCCAAAGACATCTCCATGGTCAAGGATCCAAGATGCCATGAGCATGCTGAAGAACGGGCTGGGCTTTGTGAGCTGCCCAGGACTGTTGACTGACCTGGGCTCACTGACCTGGGCTCTGTGAGCTGCTCAGGCCTGTAAACTGGAGTGACGTATTACATCCATCCGCAGGGATGGAGTCTGGTGTCCGGCCTGTGCAGCCATGGCCGGGACTCACACTCCTCTCACGACAGGCTCATGTACACTTGTCTGAGCATCACCAGGATGCTGGGGACCAAAGCAAGTGTCAGCCCAAGTTATCTGGGGTCTCACATTTTTTTTAAATGACGCAACATCCACCTTTGGCCTTGGCACCCCTAGCCGACACTGAGAGAAGGGAAAGGGGCACACTGCAAGCAGATTTTGCTAGTTTTGCTGGGGGCCTAAGACTGAGAATGAACCCAAACATCTGCTCCCCAAATCCTGCAACTGTGAAACAAGAACAAAGACCCTTGAGAATGTAAGAGACCGGATCCAGATAGTACAGCAGCAAGGGTGCATGCCTTGTATGTGGCCAACCAGGAATCTCCAGCACCCCATGAGGTCCCCTAAGCTCTATCAGGAGTGATTCCTGAGGACAGCCATACCAAAGGGTGCACGGCTCAGCACTGATCACCTAAACCCCAGGATAAAGGGCAGATCATGCAGCACTGCGAACACCAAGCACGAGTTCACCTGGGTCGCTCCGGTGGAGGCCAGGGGAGAGCAAGCAGAGGCATGCCTAGGGATGTGGGCACACGTGCTCACCGTCATGGTTACAGATGGCAGTGGTTTCACGAGACAGCCACTTAGCCAACCAGGGAAGCTTAGCATATAGTCGCTTGCTGCAACTCACTAAAGGGGGGCCAAAATCCAAATGTGAGGGCCTGGGAGAGGGTTTAAGAGGCTGGACAGTGTCCCCGGTACCCTCGGCTTCCTAAGCACCACGTCAGCTCCCAAACAAAAGCATGTCCAAGTTACAGTGGGTGGCTCTGCCCTGTGCTGACATGAGCCTGGAGGGGAAGGAGGTCCACAGAGCCTACTGGTGAGGTGACAGTCCCTCCTCTGTCCCCACAGCACCTGGCTGGCCTCTGGACATCTGCATCAGCTCTTTTAGTATCACAGCAGTCCCCTGTCAAGTCTCCATTCGGACAGGCCAGACTGCAGTGTGCATCTCTCAGACGGACACAACGGGTAACCCATTGGGGAAGCTAGCAGGGAACCGACCCTCTTCTCTTCTAAGGTTATTTGATTCTTGCCTGGACCACCCAGGTATCTGCAGGCAAGTACTCTAGATTCAAACATCTGAAATAAACCCGGACACCCCTCGGCCTGCTCTGTCCTCAGTCCCCTGCCAAGTGCCTCTCTCCCCTTCTGGTGAGTGTCACCCTCCCTCCCAGCCGCTCTGCAGCCCAAACTGAGCCAGGAGCTGGCCAGCAGGTGGGCTCACTGTCTAGGCTGTGGCGTGTGGCAGCCAGCCTCTCTGCTTGGGGAATTCTCACATCAGCTGCCAAGCTCCAGCTGGGAGGGTGTGGCAGTCCTGGAACCCCGAGAGCCACTGCCTGAGCCTCACTGAACTTCCCTTCCTGCAACGTTCCTAGCCTCTGGCAGCACAGGAAGGCATTTCGAGCACACAGGCCTGGCCTGCCTTAAGGGTCACTCCTGCATACCCACAGCCCT